ATGCTGCTATGATTTATGGCCATTTAGACTGCATATAAGATGTAGCATGTGGCTGATAAAGGTGAAATTTTAATAATGTTGAGATGAGGAAGATGGTAGCACATTCCAGGCATATGGTCATCAGCAATTCTAACATTATACTGAATATTTAATCCATATCCTATCTACCATTTAGAAAGTTCACAGTTTGCATGATGTTTGTTGGCAGGTTCTAGTGTGGTACAGACCACATTCTCACCATTGAAGGGAGCATCTGGTGGGGGAGACAGGGAGGTGATGCCAAGCAGTGTTCAGTTTCCAGTGCAGTCCAGTTACAGTGCAGCCATGCCTGGAGCTACCACCACCACTGCAGTCAAGGTAAGACCCTTTTATTGAGAGGGTTACCCGTATGCTTACATTTTTTATCAATCGTTGTTGCCCAGAAGCTTACCACAGGCCTGAAAATTCAATACACATCTTTGAACATTGTCGAAAAGATCACCATAGTTTTTCCCTAAACCCAGCATCTTCACCGAGTCTCAAACCCAGGATATTTTTTCTTGGTTATGGCCTTTGTTCCTATCTCTGCCAAAATAAACAAGTTTGATCTTGGTGTTATTCTTTTATTATGCATAATTTCTAAGCTACAGGAACTTTATTTGCTGTGACTCAGACCTAGGACAGATTTTTGTGGTTGTGGCCTTTGTTCCTGCACTCTGTTTGCTGTAATAAATATGTGTGATGGCCTTGATGACATTCTGTCATGCTTGGTTTCTGAGCTACAGAAAAGCATCTTCATTGAGGCTTGAACCCATGACAGTTGTTCAGGTTTGTGGCATTTGTTCCTGATAATCACCGTGCTCAAACAAACAGCTTTGATATTGACACTTTATCGTGCTTAATTTCCAAGGTACAAAAACTGCTGTCACCAGGACTCACAATCTGAATTATATTATTTTGCTTCTCTGAGATCTCTTCCCGGTCTCAAGGCGTATGCTTGCCAAGTTTGGTGTAAATTGATTTATATGTTCTCAAGCTATAAGCGAGCATACACACACAGGTACATCCCACAATTTAATGTTAGAAACGTGTTTGCTATTTATTTCTAAGGAGAGATGGACAGTGTGCCCGTAATTTTGTATGTGACATTTATAAAGGGTTTGATCAGTGGGAGTGGGAGATTTTAAAAAAGTAGTGTAATGAAGTAGTGTACAGTGGTGTCTAGGGATTGAAGATAAGTGGTGTAAATTGTGGGAAAGTATAGATTGCAGAAAATACAGAAAAAAGCATTGTATTTACCTGAACCATAACCCTTTATTCTTTGGGTGGCTTAATTGTGTTGCACAAAAAGAGAAATTGCCAGAACAAGAAATGGGTTAAAACTTTTATATTGGAAATTTATTTATATTGTTTTAACAAACGATGACTAAAAATATATGACATGTAAGATTTGAGGTTTTCACAGCGGTGAGTATGAAGATTTCTGTCTTCTGGTGTTGTTGCGCTGTGTAGTCTGGTCGATGTTAACCAACGTTTCAGGGGTCATACTGCCTGCATCATCAGGGCTATGACGGAGACAGGATGACCTCTGAAACGTTGGTAACCATCAACCAGACTACACAGCGCAACAACCCAGAAGACAGAAATCTTCAATATATAACATGTTTGAAACTTGTAAGAGTGCAGTGGACTATAAAGCATCATTATGCTATCAAAAACATAAGAATGCACAAGTTGAGATTGAGGTACCATATGAGATGTGGTTGTCGGCATAATTCATATGAATAGCATTATATATAAGTATAAAATTTTCTATATGGAAACCTTGCATTCTCCAGAAAGTTAAACAGTGGTATAGTGGTTGTAGACACTGAGTTGTCTGAAGGTGTTCTACAAAATATTACATAGAGATAAATTCCATATGAATGCTAAAGGTATGACATCAAAGTAAAGAGCCATTGAAAATTAAAATTTGGTTTTCAGTATATTGGAACATATAATTTGTTTTAATTATGTAGAATGTGATGAAGATGGGAAAGATCTGAATGTAAATTAATGTTCACACTGAAGTGCAGGTTTGATAAACCCAGTAACATCCCTTCAGTTCAATCTATGACTGCACAGTATTTTGTGCTATTGATTAGTTATCAGTAATAAATTGGGTCTGTAATAAATTTTTATGAACAAGGAAATAAATTGGAGTGCATGTATATTTCTGCATTTCTGTTTTAAAGATTTTTACTTCAGATAAACTTGTTAATTTGTAAACACAGTAAGCTTATCTGAAAAATCACTGTCAGAAAGGTCACTGTTTTTGGCAAAGTATGCGCTGTTTATCTACCATGTTTTATTACGTCTATGGTATAGTTTTTAGTTCTTTTTATGTTCTTCTTAACATTGGTGGAGCATGATGTCGTCATATGTTCCCAAGAAACTGTATTCAGTATATTGTGTAGGAAATTGGTTATGTCTTGTAGAACAAGAAAAAAACCCATTTCTTTCCCATTATGCTTGCAATATAATTTTTTAATGTGTGTTCTTTCCATGTCCACATGCTTCATGGCACACAATACTTAGGGTATTTTGATGAAAACAATCTCTTCCCACTAAAAGAGAAAAAGAAACAAATATTAGTATAATATGATATATAGTAGGAATTATAGCCCCTGAAATGTGTGCATATGTATTTAGCAATATATTTATTGTTGCTTAATTATGTTCTTTAAAAATTTATATTTCCTGAAAATTAACATTTTTATTATTTGTAAGCTTGTTCTTGGAAAATTGAGGAAGTGTCTTTAAGATTGAATTCCAATATATTTCCTTACAGACCCCATCAGAAATATGCAAGTAACTACCTTTTGAAGGAAAAATCTTGTTATTTTGTGATGGTAAAAAGTAAGGGTAAAGTTTTCCCAGGTGCTTAAATAAGTACTGTTATGCAGAGGTATGGAGAGTGGAGGTATAGCTCCATGCAGTCTTAACCACAACAGTAAGGAAGGTGATGGTTAACTTTACATCCCCTTTACTCTCAAAGAAAAGACAATGGTACTCAATAGATAGGAGGCTGATTGGGCTCTGAAATTGGTGCAGTGGCAAAGAGAAGAATCCTGCATTATAAGAAAACTTGAAGGGAAGACACCACTTGGAAGTCCTGAGTATATATGGGAGGATAATTTTGAAATGGAACTTAAATCAGGTTGACATTGTGAACAAGATGTATAATGAAAATTACTTGTGGGTTCTTGTGCTGAATAGTCTGGTAGAAGTTTACCATTTTTTCAGATGCAGAAAGAACCTGTGTGAAAAACATCAGCAAACTTCTACCAGATTACATGTCACAACAGCCCAGAAAACAGCCAAATATTCATAAGCTTCTAGGCCCCCCAGCATTGCTTCAGCCTAGGATGTAGACAAATAATTTTAGTAAATCATGGAATATCACTGTGCATGGAAACAGTAGAAGTCATTTTTGTCTGTAGCATCACCACTCATATTTTAAAATTACCTCATTGGTTTGTATAGCTGTTGGGTTAATAGTAGTGTAGTTAGTCATGTGTGGATGTGTGGATGTGTGGAATAGACGAATCCAGTTGTTTTTACAAATGCGCCTCTCATACCAAATTCATCTGTATGGTATATTATGCATATTGATGTACTTGTCCAGTTAGTGATTGCAGACTGTTACAAGACTGTATGATGATCCATTGCAGAAGAGGGGTCATACTTATAAGTATGTGATGGTGGGTTGTGTAGTTGACTTACTAACAGGATTTGTAATGGATTTTGAAGTACTCTCAAAATATTACCGTGCATGTGCATGAAGGTTTGTTATCTGCTGTGGACATCACAGCAGATGAGTGACTATGGAGATGTTTAAGGCAATACAGAAAACACTGCTTTCAGATGGTAATGCAGAAATGTTCAACCACCTTTCTAATTCAGATGTTTATAGACCATACATCCAACTAAAGAAGGGGGGAAGCATCAGTCATGTTGCCAGGTGTCTGTGTTTTGCTGACTTGAGAAACTGTTTAAAGGAATAGCATACAAAGGGGTGTTAATGTTAGGTGGTAAAAGTTATGCCATTCACAGTGAAACAGCAATCAGAAGGTTGACTGAATATTAACAACAGCCGAAGTGTCAGGCAGTAATGACTGCTATTTATGCAACCCTTCTTCACTAGTCTGCATGGTAGCTCAAGTTCTCCCCAATGTGGTTCTTCTGCCAACAGGCACTGTCAAGAAACCAGCAACCTACTTCACACAAAAACCACACAGCAAATTGTAGCCAAAATAATGCCTATGTACTAAAGATTGGCAGCAGATAGTCTCTTGGAAAGGTGTCCTGTGTAGAGCACAGAATGTAAATGGTGTGGTTAATCATTTTTTTGGGCTTGCAGTATTAAAGCTTATCGAGTAAATGGCAAACCTCAGTTTTGGTGCTGAATGTGTTAAAGTATGTTTGGAGCTATTCTTCTGCTCTCCCATAATTTTCATGGTATGGTGCTAACCCTCTAAAGCCCATTGGTAACTATATGCATAATTTGCTTAATCTGTAATTCTGCCCATAGTATATTTATGAGTTTCATATGATTTCCAGAATAAACAGCAATTGTTTGCTTAAATACCATTAACTAGGCTGTGTGATGTTTGTTGTGGAGAAGTGTTGTGTTATCTGTGGAAGAAAGTGACTTCTGCTTCAGAGGGTTAACCCTTTGTGATCCTTTGTCGGACTGAGTCCGCCACATATTTTACGAATTCTATAATCTGAGGCTGGCAAACAGTGTCAGCATATTATTCAAGCCTTCTTTGCACTAATTTGCGGCCCATTAAAATGGTCTTCAGTTTTGGGAATGACCAAAAGTTGTATGGGGGTGAATGTTCCAATTTCATTATTGATATTTTTAAACGGTTTTATGTAATCTTGCTAATATTTCCAAGTAACTTTGTTGGTTCACTGTTTGATCTTGTTCAACAAAGAAAGTGAAAAGTGCTCTTATGTTAAGAAAGAGTATTGTCTTCGCTTGGTTTGTGGTATGTATGCCTTCGTTCAGCACTTTTATGTCACTCACACACTCTAGACTTTTTTGTAGCATCAGTGTCATAAGTCTCTGTTATCATCTGCAGAGTTTTGCTCACACTTTTGCCTAACCTTGCACAAAACTTGATGTTAATGCACTGCTTCAGCAAACTATCATTAATTTTTCTGCCAGGACAAAATACACACTTGTGTAATTCTGCTATTAGAGTATAATTTTTTGCTTTAGTAGTAGTGAGGATTTGTAATGTCAGTTACGTGAAAGGCTTCAAACTGTCTTTGAAGCAAAATGCAACTTTAAATATCTTGTGGCACTGTGATCTAACTCACTTCCTGGCACAGGTTTTGGGATAAGCGTTGGTGCGAGAGTAAGGTGCTAGCTAAAGTTGCCCTGGTCGCTGGTGTGGTGGCTGGGATGTATTAGCTAGCAACAAGTGTTCTCCTTTGTTGTGTGATGCTTGAATAAAATCGTCTTATTGAGTGTGTCATGTGAATAAAATGTAATGTTTGTTTTAGGCTCCCAGCAGTGGGCTTCAAGGGGGTTCCCCTAGTGTTGGCAGTTTGCAGTCTCAGGCCCATCAGCAACATACACTGCATCAGGCCCAGGCACACCAGAATTTGCGCCACAAAGTATGTTGTATTCATCTTTGAAGGAGATGATTGTCAGATGTTCAGTTTTATATTTGAATGGTTTCTTCCGTAGTTGGGATTAATTGTTTAGTTGGTGTGTTAGGTCTTTGTAAATTATTTTATTTTACAAATTGGCTGGAAAAATGCTTGTTTACTGTATTGTATTTTGGATCATTTCCATGTCAAACTTACTTTAAGGGCAAAACTTTCATTGATAGGACATATGGCACACATAGGGAATTGATGTTCAAAAGTGTCAGATAATCTCAAGGGAAGAGATTACTTCGAAACACCTCTGAATTGGAGGAGAATAGGCTATTAAATTTGGCCTTTTATAAGTAGGTTTTAAATGTGTGAATTGCATTCAGTAGGGTTCAGTGGCTGGCTTATTTGAACAGGAATGTCAACCTTCAGATTCCTTGAAAGCAAGGATTCTCATTACTGTTTTGTTTGTTTGTTTGTTTGTTTGTCATCAGTCTTTCGACTGGTTTGATGTGGTCCTCCATTTTTGCCTATCTTACGCTAATCTCTTCATTTCCACATATTTTTTGCAGCCCATATCCTCAAAAATCTGCGTCACATATTCCAATCTTTGTCTCCACCTACAGTTCTTCCCTTCAACTGTTCCTTCCATTACCAAATTAACCAATCCTGGGTGCCTGAGAATGTGTCCCACCATCCTATCTCTTCTTCTCGTAAGATTTTTCCATAGACTTCTTCCTTCGTCTACACTGTCTAAGACCAGCTCATTTCGGACTTTATCAGTCCACATTACTAGAAGCCTTTAAAACAAGATTCTGTAACATTGGCTTATAGGTGGCTACAGTATACTGGCATTGTGCCTCTGTTCTCTGGACAGTGGAAGATAGATGGAGCTCTCATTCAATACTCCCTCCCCTCCTCAGATCTTTGGCTGTCTTTGATTCACATACTAACAGCATTTCACAGGTTTGTTTGGTCTTCATGGGAAGTGATGCATATGAAAATTTACCTTCCTGTGTCCCTTAATTGCAACATGAGCATTTTTTAAATGTTAAGTTGTCCTTAAATTTCTCCTTGTTCTAATTCACTAAAATTCTTTGGTCTTGATTAAGATACAAACTCATTCTTATACCAATTGAAAGCTAATAAGGGGGGATTTGATTTAATGTGCTGCTCTTAATATTTCAGAGCATGTTTAAATTTTAACCTTGATTTATGCAGCTTTTCCCCCCAATGGTGGGATATGAAAGTGATGAATTTTTTTAAGTTGTCAGATGCTACACCGAATGATTGAGCACGATGAGTCGTGTTGTGACCTGTACAGACATGCATCAAGTTATAATTCACCTTTACAATTGAGTGGTGGTGGTGGTGGTTTTATCAAGAGCAAAGTAATTTTTGTTTTTGACATATTTAAAATGGTCACTTTCCACCAAAAAGTTCTCTCAAGTGAAGAATCTGAAGAAAGTCACTGCCAGTCATTTTGTGGGTTACAGCTTCAAAAGGGCTTTCAAAAAGTGGATCAAGAAACTGATGGGGTCACACTTTTGTTAATAGTGAGAAGGAATCATGTTGCATCACTGAGAAACTAGAAACCATGCTTCACAGGCTGTAAATAGCTACTCTTGCAGGTAACATTTAAAAAAAATGAAAAGCTAATATTGGTATTTTAATGAGTAAGCTTGCTGGTTTTGTATTTATGTCATTCCTATTAATGTTGTATTACCTCTGTAGCTTGCTGTAGTCTGTAAACCGTGTGACCAACAGTGTGTCTGTAACCTGTAGTTAATATCATTCTATACATGTCCCAACATGAAATTTTTCTGAAAATGTACTCAGAATCACAAAATGTTTTTGGAAAATGTAAACATGGCTGCACGGTTTTCGTCAATTAAGGTCAAAACTGAATGTCAGAAAAGTGTGCTCTGAAATATGTGTGGCATACCACTTGTAAGTCCCACACAAGAGCTTTCAGTTGGTGCAAGAGTGAGCTCTCTAACTTAATTAGGACTGGAGTTATAAACATCTTACAGTCACAATTCAGGAACAATTATTGAAAACTGACACTTTTAAATGCAGTAACCTTGAAACTGACACAGGAAGGAAAAAGTCATATTTATCTCTTATAATACTGTCAGCTTAATTGAAATCGAAGGTGGTCATTTATGTGTTGATTATTTACGGAATGATCGTTTTATTAAAGATAATACGTATTTATCTTAAGTAATTAGGTGTTCTTTATGCTCTACAATGCTTTGCATCAAAGCATTTTGGCATAAGTTTAATATCAAAATGGGGGTTGTTTGTTATCTTTCCTTTTCTGTGTGTTTTTGTTTTACGCAGTGATTCACAGGAATGCAGCACCCATGTATAACATCTGTACTAGGATTGGAAAGGCGTAGACTTCTCCAGTTTGGAAAAGAGACAGTTTTTATACAGCATACTGTTTAAATATTGTAGTGCTATCTCATAAAGGACAACTCATTTGTGGACACAATGAGTGAAGAACACCTTGTGGGCCCATCCATGTCTTGCTTTTTCCTAGGAGTTAGGCAACTTGTATAGTAGTGTTGCAGTTGGAACCTGTTATTATTGTTTTTTCTGTGCCATTCCTGTTGTTATCCCTTGGACACCGCATTGTGTATACCAGCTCATTTTAAATCATCCAGGCCTCAGAAAGGCCCAAACTGATCCCAAGTGGCTTCACCAGTCTTAGGGCTGGGTCACTTCTGGGGTCTCCATTTCCTATGGACATTCCCAGGTAATGCTTTCCATGGCTGGTCCCAAGCAGAATTTATTACTTAACCCCCAGGGCTTTGTCACTAAGTCACTTTTCCAGGATGCTTGCTTTATTGGGTCTCCTGGACATCTGTTCCTGGAGCTTTGCTTTCTATTCATTCTATCCTATGCATAGTCTAGAGCTTTGAAAATCTGTTCTCTGCCCTCACAGGGCATCAGTTGTGATGGCCTGGACCTCCACTGGTCCCCACAAACCTTTATCCTCCTCCAGACTCCCTCACTTTTGTGTTACGTCCTCAGTGGCATTTCCCCGCTTGGCCTTTGCTGTTTTAGACACCACTGGTCCTGTAGGATATCAGGATATATCATCCAAGCCTCAGGAGGATGTGGACCGCCCCTGAGGTATTTTTCCATCCATGGGGCAGGCCACTTTCGGTGACTGCTCCTTTGGGGCACCTCCTCATAATACCACCACTGTGTGCTCCAAACCAGGGTTATTTAACCCCTGGGGCTTTACTGCCCGAGCCCTTTCCCAAGATGCTTGCTTTGTTGGTGCCTGGCCCCTTGAAATGAATTGTTTTTCCAGGGGCTTTGCCCCATGGTTCACCTCTCCCTGGCCTTGGCCACCAGATATGGAAACCCCTGTGGTTCTACCATCCTGGTTGCAGCAGTAGTTTAGGAATGCCCTTAGGATGTTGTTGGAAAACAATGACCTTTACATTAGTGCAACTACATATGGGATGTAGCACAAACAGTGCCTTTGGAATGTCATTGTACTCCAAAGAGTACACCTTACCAGTCTTGTTATACATGTTTTATGTGGTTTCATGCCATGTACATTTACCAGTTTTGGTTGTTTAAACTTTTAAATTTAAATTGTTATAATGACAACAGGCCAAATGCTGCTTTGTACCCAAATAAACTGCTTTGTGGGTTAGTGTTAAGTGGTCATGTGGGCAACATTTATAAACCAGCAAAACTGTTTGTCCTCACCACCAAATAATGAATGTGTTGTGAACAGGTTGTTTTCTGCATCATTACATGGTGTTGTATTGTATTATATATAAATATAATAAGTAGCTGGATTGTGGCCTTAGATTCTGTTTGTTTTGTAACATTTTCTTCTCAGAACTGGACGGAATTGGAGCAAAGTAAAATTTTTAATTGATTCATTTGTATGTCGAAATACATAACTGAAGTGTTTTCAAGAATGTGTAGTTTTCCTGTACTAAGTTCTTATAGCAGTAAATATGTTGGTCTTCTGAGAAGTAACACTGTTTAGACAGGTAGATACCAATGTTTTGGGGAACATAATGCCTCTATCTTCAGGGCGTACTACCTACCTATAAATCCACATGATGTTATTACTCATAATACTGTGAACATGTAGTTTTCGTGTTTATCAGATGTAAAACTTGCACATTAGAAAGTACTACCAGCACTGCTCATGTTTCCCTTGTAATAAATTCTGTTTTAAAATGAAAGTATTATTCTAGGTACTTGGAGTTGGAACTGTGGCGGCGGCAGCAGCAGCAGCAGCAGCAGCACCATCAGCATCTTCTATGTCTGTGTCAGCCACCTCTGCAGGGGCTGGGCAACAGCAGTTTCAGAGGTTGAAGGTGGAAGATGCACTGTCCTATTTGGATCAGGTGAAATACAAGTTTGGCAATCAGCCACAGGTGTACAATGACTTCCTGGACATTATGAAGGAATTCAAGAGTCAGAGGTGAGTTGCTTATACTCTTTTTCTGGTTTGTGCATTTACTTATGGAGAGCATGTTTTTACTGAAGAAGATTTTAGAAGTGGCATAATTGGAAAGTAGATTAAGGACTTGTATTGTACACTCTGTGCAGCAAAAATCATTTGTTTAAAATTTTCTAATTCCGAAGCCAGTAGTAATATAAGCATACAGCTGGCATGATAATTTCACCCATTTGTAGTTCCCTTGTTTTTCTGTATCTTCCATTAATTAGAACTAGTTGTGCCAGATACCTGTTATGCAAGGGCATCAGCATATTTGCCTAAATTGAAGAAAAATATAAATAAATTTTAATGGCTTTTTTGTGTCATGTGATGAGCTTCAGTGGCAAAATGAAGGTGAAGACTGTATTAAGTTTTGGTCTGTACTGCCTCATGAACTTACATACACAAATTATGAGATTTATGTAGGAGGTTCATGGATTTGGTTACATTATTATTTCTATCCATGTTTTTGTGTGTGTTTATGTATACACGTGAAGAAATGTTGGCTGATGTTAGTATATATAGCACCAGAGCTCATCATGTCAGAACTTTGATGTGCATTTGCTGTGTTGATGAAAGGTAAAATTTCCAAACTAACCAATCATGATCAGTCACTTATATTTTCGTGCAGCACGTGCTGATTTACTTGAATTTACTTGATAGCAAAATTAAAAGCCACAATATTAGTACATTTTGCAAACAACTTTAAAAAGGACATACAGACATACAGTTATAAAGAACTTGGTTGTATGATTTGTGTCCTTAATGACAGGTGGATAGATACAGACATACACATGCATACATAAACATTAAAATACAAATGAAAATATTTTTTTTATTTTTGTTGGCAGTATTGACACACCAGGAGTTATACAACGGGTGTCTAACTTATTCAAGGGTCACCCAGAGCTTATTGTTGGTTTCAACACTTTCCTGCCACCTGGCTACAAGATTGAGGTGCAAGCCAATGACCAGGTACCTTACTAGGCCTTTTATTTCATGTCTGCATGTATAAATGCCCGTTAGCAGGCCATACGAAAGAAAAGTAACTTACATGATGAAATGTGAGATAGCGGTTTAGAAGCATTTAACATGTCACTCATTCTCCCTCCACTGGTTCTTTTCACTTTTATTATACATATCCAAGAACAATCTGAGGATCAGGATTCTACCGCCATCTACTGGCACAACTATATGGCGCGTGGGAAAGTAAACAAAGATGCTCTTTGGTAAGATTTCTGTGTTACAGATACCATGACCAGCTAGACTTGGTAAAGAACAAGTTATTAAGACTTTCCATCACAAGATTATCAGTACATATCTTCCACCAGAGACTGCCACGTGTAAAATGATGTATTTTCACAATATGAAGAAGACTTTGTGCTTCACAGCAACACACACATGCTGCATGAGCTACTGCTGAAGGACATGTTCATTGACTAACTTCCCCAAAGAATGCTGATTTGCTGTTCACAATTGATGATGGGATGATTTCTTTTAAATACTTAAGGCTTATGTTTTTGAGAATTTCTGTCTTCAAAATTGACAATAGGATGCTAGTTATGAGACGTACCTTGTAGTACTTAATATAAAAAGTATTATTGGCAGGTACAAGGTTTGATGGGAAGGTGTGTGACCAATCATACTTTGGATTGGTCAGCTAATCATGTACGGATGTAGCTGGACACATAAGTAAATATCTTTAGTGTGATATAGCCAGAAACTTTGGTGAGTGTTAGGATAGCTCCTTATTTGAATGTCATTGATTAATCTTGTTTTTTGGTAGTATTCTAATTTACGTTTATACTAATTGAAAGTAGGGCTATGCATTCCAGGTATCGGTGTCTATGCCAAGCCCAACAGCTGCTACTACGACATTGGTGCATACGCCAGTCTCCATAACGCCACATCACTCAGTAATCCCCACCACCTTAGGCTCAGCAGTAGGTAACACAGGACTTGGAGGGGTTCCTGTATGTGGAACTGGAGGTGTGGGCTCCACACAGCAAGTTGGTAATGCTGTGGGCTCCATTCCTGGAGGTCCTACTTCCACAGCTCCTGGAAAACCAACTCTACCTTTGCACAGGTAAATACATACTCTTACCATCTGCAGGTTGTGGCTCTGGCACTGCACCTTTCCAGTGTGTGCTCAAAGATTTCTGCTACGGCAGTTTAATGTATTGAATTTACAGGATTTTTAATAATTGTGATTGTTGTATCAGAAACATAATGCCAGTGCCGTCACTTATGTTATGACCAGCTGGTCCTATTTGTCGTGCGAAGCTACGACGGTTGGAATACATTTATTTGTGGAAATTTTTCAACGAAAAACGATCGAAAGGAATTAGTAGTAGTACACCTAAGTGCATTGTGAAAACATGGTTAGTGTTATAGATTTTGTTTGCATTGATAAAGTTGATCTGGTATAGAACATTATTGCTTTCATCTAGATTCACATATTTTATTTTCTCTCTTGAACTGAAAAGTTTTTCTTATATATCCTTACACTTTTGTGCAGTGCAGATGATTGGCTAGTGTTACAAATTGTGATTACAGTAGGAAAAGTGTTCTAGTAGATAAAATTCTTCCCTTGATCTTTCCTTTTTCTGAATTCTCATCTTTATCTTGAACTGAAAAAATCTCCAAGCACATGTCTACTGAGATGTAATTCTGATTATGACAACAAAATGAAAGTTCTTAGGCATGCATATGATAGTTGAAGTAACGTGTCTCCTGAAATTAAACAACTCATAAAAGTTAATTAGGAAGACAATGGAATGAGTTGTGTGACTGTTCACCATTTTGAAGAGCAAAGACAAGTTATGGTTAGCTCTTCTATGACATGGAAGACTAATGTATTAAAATTGTGTTGTTTAGAATCAATGTGTAGTGTTGTATGTGTATTTAAGTGTTGGTTTGATGTAGTATATTCATGCTTTGCTTCTGTCAGGCAAGTTTGATGTTTATTGTTGCTTGTGTACATGTGCACAGAAAATTGTGGGCAGAGTATGGGTGTAACTTGTTGGAAAACAGTTAACTGTGGGTAGGAGTTCAAACCTTACAGCGAATAGTGTGCTTGTTGGTTGGTTTAGAGTGCAGGAGGTCATGTATGTATTAGAAAATCTTTAACTTCTTGGTTCAGGTAATGTGTTAAAGATGTTGAGATTAGTGAACTTCAGTACTGTCATGTCTGTAGTAACCACTTCAAAAAAGTCTATTGTCCTACCAGCATTAATGTTTTTAATTCTGCTGTTGTACTGTAATTGAATTAGAAATCAGGAGGGCTTCATAAGTGTCTGATTTTGCCATATTCAGATATTACGGATACCCATCAGAACAAGCATATTATAAATTCCATGCAAGAAGGTTGCATTGTATGTTGCTTGATATCTGAACTGCAAGTTGCAACCCTTGTTTTACTCTCTCCACTCCTTTTCTGAGCACTTCTATATAGCTTGCGGACTCATATTATTCAGTCCAGCAAGTGAGCCGTAGTGCAAGAGTATTGCTTCCTGCTCTCTTTCAACACACATGTTTAGTGCGGATGTGGATGAGATGCAGTGTGCTACAAAGTATATTTTGATGATTTCTTGTGGTGAATATGAAGTTCACTTATATCAGTTTTTCCTTGTATGAGACAGATTTTGTTAATACATTGAAATACGTAGCTCATGTCTATGTATTTAAAGATGTTGGGTTATGTGGAGGGATATTGATTAGTGTTGGGATAAATAATATTGTATTGAGTTATGAATGTAATGCCCCAATTTTGGTTCACATGTTATAAGTTTTTCATGACATCTCAGATTGCTGTTATGACTGAGGGCTTATTTTAATCATTGTTTATTATATAGGGTGCGGCAGAGAAGACGCATGTTTTTCAAATAACAATAACTCAGTTGATTTTCAAGTTAAAAAAATTTTAATTACACAAAAAGAAAGGTTTTAAAATGCAGTTTTTGTCGAAAACTTTTGAATTACTTTCGAAAAATAACGTCCGTCAAGTGACGCCCCTTCCTTCTGTACGCACTCTTGCAGCCTCTCCTCGAAATTCTGCATTACTCTTCCCAACATTTCTTCCCCCACAGTAGCGATTTCCTGGCGAATGGAATCTTTCAGTTCCTGGATGTTGCGTGGTTTGTTTCTGTAGACTTTTGATTTGAGGTAACCCCACAAAAAGTAGTCCCATACGGACAGGTCAGGGGAGCGAGGCGGCCAAGGGATATCACCAAAACGGGAGATGACGTGTTGGGGAAACATGCCACGAACCACCTGCATCGATGCACTCGCCATGTGTGCCGTGGCACCATCCTGTTGGAACCACATTTGCCGCATATTGACCCTTTGTCTGCGCAGTTCTGGAAGCAGGAAATTGACTCGCCATGTGTGCCGTGGCACCATCCTGTTGGAACCACATTTTCTGCATATTGACCCTTCGTCTGCGCAGTTCTGGAAGCAGGAAATTGTTGAGCATTTCGACATAGCGTGCCGAAGTCACTGTAACTGAGGTATCCCCCTCTTGAAAAAAATGAGGGCCAATGATCCCAAATTTTGCAATGCCGCACCACACTGTTACTTTTGTGCTGTGGAGAGGTTTTTGGTGTAGCTGTCACGGGTTCTCCGCCGCCCAGTACCTACAGCTTTGTTTGTTCACAGTCCCATCTAACTGGAAATGTGCTTCGTCACTCATCATTATTACCGTATCTTCATTAAGAATGCATTTCGACATAGCGTGCCAAAGTCACTGTAACTGAGGTATCCCCCTCTCTGCATATTGACCCTTCGTCTGCGCAGTTCTGGAAGTGAGGGCCAACCATCCCAAATTTGGCAACTCCGCACCACACTGTTACTTTTGTTCTGTGGAGAGGTCTTTGGTGTAGCTGCCGTGGGTTCTCCGCCGCCCAGTACCTACAGCTGCCGAAGTCACTGTAACTGAGGTATCCCCCTCTTGAAAAAAATGAGGGCCAATGATCCCAAATTTTGCAATGCCGCACCACACTGTTACTTTTGTGCTGTGGAGAGGTTTTTGGTGTAGCTGTCACGGGTTCTCCGCCGCCCAGTACCTACAGCTTTGTTTGTTCACAGCCCCATCTAACTGGAAATGTGCTTTGTCACTCATCATTATTATCGTATCTTCATTAAGAATGCCAAACATTGTTTCAGAAAATTCTCTTCGTTACACAAAATCTCCTTGGAGCAGCTTTTGTACTATCATTATCTTGTACCGATGAAATTTTAAGTGTTTGTGTAGGATCACTATCATTATCTTGTACGGATGAAACTGTAAGTGTTTGTGTAGGATGCGACGTACATCCCATCTAACTGGAAATGTGCTTCGTCACTCATCATTATTACCGTATCTTCATTAAGAATGCCGCGACGTACAGACCGATCTGACATCCGCAAAGCTAAAGCTTGGCACCGAGCAGAACGCCTCGGTCTTCTGAGAACTGCCGATCTCACTCTCTCAACGTTCTCAGGGTTACGCACAGACACAGGAAGGCCAGGTGGTTTCCTCTTCATCACAGACCCTGTTGTCCTAAACGCATCAACCCACCTGAGTATCATGTTACGATCAGGGATGTTTCCACGGCGCTCCACATTGAACTGTTTACGGAAAAGGCGCTGAATGGCAATTACGGATTCACCATTTTTGAAATAATTTTCAACGACAAACACCCGATGCTTGCGGGTCCACGGTGCCATGGCTAATGAAACTGCATCATCTAAGCTGTCTACTAGCAAGGAGCGGAAATCCCCCACCCTCCTCCTAGCCGAGTACTAGCCATTCGAAAAACATGCGTTTCCTCTGCCGCACCCTATAGATTCCTAACATAAACTTGCTAACAGGTAGGCAGGCAGCAGAGTTAAAGTTGCTTTTCACATTGTTGGATCCATGGTTTTAAAATATTTTGATCTTTACTTTCAGTGGTTCTTCAAGCCATCTCTCAGGTTCAAGCCTGACAGGCTCAACAGGCTCCTCTCATCATGTGGTGTCCTCAGTCTCGTCTGGGACATCTCCATCCTCAGGATCTGGAGCTGGATCTTTGTCAGCAGTCTCAGGCGGGCAGCAGCAGCAGCAGCAGCAGCACCATGGGTATCCACCCACACCCAACAATTCAACCATCCATCACAACAATAACCACCACGGGCACAGTCACCATAGCCATGGTCCTGTTACACAAGTGCTGTCCCAGACCCAGGCAGCACACCAGGCTGTGTCACAGGCTTTGAGTCATGCAGAGTCTGGTGCAGGTGGTGCTATCCACCCCACACCTCAGAGCCAGCCAGTGGAGTTTAACCATGCCATTAACTATGTCAATAAAATCAAGGTGAGCTGTCTGAGATAAATGCAAGCATCCACAGCTCAAGTTCTTGAATGGTCAATAGTGTCTGCTTGTCAACAAATGTCGTGCTTTTATAAAATATGAAGGTTTATGATTGTGTTTACAAGTTTTCCATAGGGTCCAATCCAGAGTCATTTGAATCCAATCTATACCTTCACAGTATAACAAATATTCATCTTCATTATATTCTCTTACCTATATGCCTTGGTTTCTTTACTCCAGGCTATCTGTTCATAAAATCCTTTGTCCTCATTGATCATATGGTGCAGTGTAGTCCCATTCCATTAATTTTTATTTGTTTGCAGCTACGTATTTTTCACTTATATTCATGTGATGATACAAGGACATAAACAGGTTGATTGAAGAGTTATGTTGCATATTGCAGTATTTATTGATGGTTGCAATTGAGTTGGATTAATAAACATAAATTATCGCTGTGACTGTGCAAAATCCCATGCGTCATGTCTTATTGTGTAACCTGCTTCGACCAGTCTGGTCAGTTGTCTTCACAGTTTTTACAAACAGTGCAAGGATATATTTTTCACAAGTGCATTGCAATGTTTATTATCTAACAGTACATGGCATCTTACTTAATTTGTGAGAATAAGTTTAGAGATACATTTCCCAATTCTGTTACAATCCATCATCATCTTGTCTACATAACTGTTTCCATGACACAGCATCTCTTCACTCGGCTGCATCAAACATGATGAAAAGAGTAAATGCAAGCATTGCTGAATGTGGTGGACAATTCCAAAACTTATTATTAATATTTTTTGTCTGATTTCAATTGAACTTATTTGTTGACAAATAGAAGATGCAAGGAATGGGCTGTGTTACTTCTAAATCATGCTGTATTTGTTTCTCCTTTATTATAGACCACCAGCCTTCCAAAAGGGCATGTATTCTATTATTTGGTATTTTGTGTTTTGCGTGACAAAACTATTAACATAGTCCAGTGGTATTCCATTTGATTCTCAGAAGCTTTTCCAATTATGTATTCTAAAGCAAAGTTGTAAAGCACCAAAAGAAATTCCTTTGTTTTAAACCATTCTGAATAAGTGTCAGACGAATGTTTACAAGCACAGCCCTTGTGAGTTTAGTTCATACACAGGATTTTCCTGGAAGTACCAAAGCAATATGTAGGTCTGTAACACATTCTCCAGTTGTACCAGTACTTTGTTGGACATTGTCAAATTGTCTGAGGTAAATTTCTTATACACATTATTTCTGTTGAGGTTGATTTTTATTGATTTTGTATCAACTGCTATTTTGCATGCCTAATTTGATTCGTAATTTAGGGAATTATTTGTCAAATTGTGGTTTTACTGTCGTAACCTGTACCTGAGACTTCACTGAAATTTTGATATTCTGTCCCAAGGCTTTCTTTAAAGTTCTGATATTCAGTCCTAAGTCTTGTTGGTGTACTTACTTTTAATTTCCTGAAATGTGCTGTTGTATGCTTTAAGTCCCGTATTATTCAGTTGAGATTAAATCTGTTCTTATCAGACTTCTGGATTGCACATTTACTTACTGAAAGTTTTTCCACAACTTTTGCAACTAGTAATTAGTAGTCAGTGAAGGAAGACTTCTTATGATTATTTACTTACCATCATGGTTTTATCTTGTACTGGTTAATTTAATAAGATTACTGTAATTTGTTACAGAACCGTTTCCAGGGTCAGCCTGATAAGTACAAGCGTTTCCTCGAAATCCTGCATACATATCAAAAAGAGCAACGCAACTTGAAGGAGGGTTTAAGCACTCCAGGAAAACATCTAACAGAAGCAGAAGTGTACTCCCAGGTTGCCAAGCTGTTTGAGAACCAGGAGGATTTACTTGCAGAGTTTGGACAGTTCCTGCCAGATGCAACCAGCCATCAAGCAGCACTTGTGAGTCACTGCATTGCATGATATTTCTTGTTTCCCCTTTGCTATTAAATAAATTTTTACAGTAGCCCTGCATATTGTAAACTTTCTCTCTGCTTTGGGAGAATGAGTTTTTTTCTTTTCTTAGGTTTTGTGCAGGAATGATGTCTCAGCACTGAATTATGTGACAGACGAAGATTTCCTTGTCACTATATAAGTGTTTGTTTCTGTTGCGTTAGATACAGTAATTACCATATTTGTCCTCATATAAATAAATAATATTCAAAATTTTGAGTCTAAAATCAGGGATATAACATTCTGTTGTCTGTGAAAAGCTGCGGATTTATGTATTATGCTCATCTGCAGTTCTTACTAAATGTATGAAATTTATTGTTGCTACATGTGTGAAGAAAGCTATCAACTTAAGAGCTGACACAAAAGATTTCAACAAAAATGTAATGGAATTTGAGATAACTGTTAATTTCAGATAAGAGTAAGAAATCTGTAATAGTACAACCAAAGCTAATGCAATGTATTTTCATAATCAGCTGTTATGATAACAGGAAATATAAGATCAAATATAAGGGTTTTTAAGGGTGCGGCAGAGGAAATGCATGTTTTTCAAATAACAATAACTCAGTTGATTTTCAAGTCAAAAAAATTTTTAATTACACAAAAAGAAAGGTTTTAAAATGCAGTTTTTGTTGAACTTTTGAATTACTTCCGAAAAATAACGTCCGTCAAGTGACACCCTTCCTTCTGTACACACTCTTGCAGCCTCTCCTCGAAATTCTGCATTGCTCTTCCCAACATTTCTTCCCCCACAGTAGCGATTTCCTGGTGAATGGAATCTTTCAGTTCCTGGATGTTGCGTGGTTTGTTTCTGTAGACCTTTGATTTGAGGTAACCCCACAAAAAAGAGTCACATACGGACAGGTCAGGGGAGCGAGGCGGCCGCGGATTCACCACTTGTAGGAAACATTTTGTGCTTGTGTTGTAGTACCTAATGTGAAGGGTGGATTTGCTTGCTTGCCACAACAGCGTTAGCTTCAGTTTTGGAAAGCTGTGTCATCATGTGATATTCTGCATTAAGCTTATTTTGACTTACTGCAATGGGCTCAAAGGAAATAAAAATGTTACACATTCAGCAATACTTAGATATTTTCACTAACATTGATAAATAGTCTGCAGCACTGTGCTTGCATTACTATCTTATGAAAGCTGGCCACAGACTGGAAAAATATATTGGAAGAAGTGTTCCTTCCATCCATCCTGTGGCTTTACAGTCCGTTTGGTGGGCCTTGGCTTCCTCCCATGTGGGAGGTTACTTGATCTCTTTAGACATTTTGGTAATACTCCTTGGACGAGTGATCAGCCCATCGCAAGGCCTCTACCTGTACACAGGACATTACACAAAGATGCAGACAAATATCCATGCCTCAAGAGGGATTTGAACCCACGGTCCTAGTGTCTCAATGAACAAGGCCAACAGCTTGGAAGAAGTGTTATTCAGTAGTAATTTTAATTATTGTCACCACAGTACCATGGTGTTCATACTAAAAGCAAGCAGTGATTTGGTGCATTAGGAATGCACACAAAGCTGTCTACCCTGTGATATAATTCAGTTTTCATAAAGCAGTATACTGTATCTTATAAAGGAATAATGAAGTAGTTTATGAAGTTGGCGAAAATTGTGACAGGAAAGGCATTGTAAACTGAGTGTTCCATTAGACAGTATTTTATTTAATGACCCTTGAGTGTGGGATTTTGCTGAACACAGTTTAAGAAACACTGTTACAATGTCGAACACTTTTTGTTTACTGTTTGCAGAGCAACAAGGGTACCAGCAATGATCACTCGTCCATTGCAAAGAAGCCTTCCAGTGGTCTGAAACCTGGCTACAACAACTCGTGTAGCAGTGGAGCTGGTAGTCGACACGAGAGTGGAGGAGGAGCTCTGTCAAGCGGACTGTCAGACCGTGGCGGACTTGGAAAATTCAGTCACTCAGGTCATAGTGGTAGTGGCCAGGTGAAACGCTCACCCTCCTTCTCCACCTCAGCCCCTGCAACACATGGTCCACCCACCAAGAAGCACAAGATGGCATCCTTGAGGGATGTCTCTCTTGCAGAGGCTGGCAAATATGGCAGCCTTACTGATTATGCCTTCTTCGATAAGGTAAGCTTTGAAGAAAAGTGTTTCCACTGTTATAAATTAAGTAATTTGTGTTCTGATTGCATTATCTCAAAAAATCTTGAAGGATTGCTCAGAATAAAATGTGTAATTGTATATAAAATCAAACAAAGAAAGTAAACAACCTTGGCTTCTCGGTAACAGTGGCATACTCTTGGGAAAACTTTGGAGTCACCACTTTTATGGTGAATGGCTTTGGAAATAAAATGGAACCCTTTATATAACTCTGGCAGTGGGAAGTAAGTGAGGTGATGGCTTGAGTAGAGGAGAGCAGGATATTACCCATTGATGGGAGGGGTGGAGGCTGCAGCAGCTCGATAGAAAGTTTGGCCACCCCAGTGCATGCCACAGGTAGTTCCCCAAAACCCAAAGTTACACATTAAAGTCATTTCTGTTGTGCATTATCCTGATAAGTTTCTTATGTTGGTAGACTTTTGATATTATTGTCACAGTTACTTTTTACTTGCTAGTTCCACTGTTTGCCAAGTGTTCATTTTGTTGGCAAACTACACGTTTATGCATTAAACACTGGCCTCAAAAACCTAATAAAAATAATATGAGTGTTACTGTAGCTGGCTTTGGTACATGGCATACGTAACTTTCCTTCCTTGAAAGAATGTGAAATAAACTGCCGACGCCACAAACTTATTCAAAGGACACTGAAAAGGAACTAGTGAAATATTTTACATGTTTTGGGTCATCTTGATTTACACTACAGCCTGTATGATCGCCAAATGATATTCTGGCTACTGATATATAGATTTCGCTGAAGAGAAGGCATTGGAAATGTAATCCTCTGAGCATGAAAAACATCCTGTTTTCGAAAGCAAAGATTTCAGAAGAATGGAACTTCTATATTCAGGTTTAGATTATGTAGTCTTAGAGCACCTGTCTGTCTGTCTAAAATAATTTTTTGTGTAGTATATTTATGGTGACTGGTGAGGACCAGGCATGGGATCTTATCACTGTGTTCTGTGGATTACATTTTTACTACAATTTTATAAGACTGTTTTTGTGTCCCAGAATGGCATATTTTGGAAATTTGGTCTTTAATCTGTCTCAGGCACGGAAAGCACTAAAGAATCAAGATGTATATGAGAACTTCCTGCGGTGCCTAGTGCTCTTCAATCAAGAAATTGTCTCCAAGTCAGAACTAGTGCAGCTCGTCACTCCATTCCTAGGAAAGTTTCCTGAACTGTTTCGCTGGTTCAAGGATTTCCTGGGACACAATGAAGGCAGTGGGGGAGCAGCAACATCTGTTGCTGGCCCTCAAGGCCCTGGAGCAACTGGAGTGGAAGCCATTTCTAACAATATGGCTAGGCAGGACAGACCTGTGGGTGATCTTGCCATGGAGATTGGTAAGTGTTCCTCAAGAAGAGAGTATTATTAAATGGTAATGAGAGTATTAGTTCAAAAATGTACACATTGTTGGTGATTGGTAACATTTTTCAGCAGTTGGATGCAGATGTTAAATGAGCTTTTATTGATATCTTGGTCATAGTACTGTTTCTCCAAATTATAGCTTCATGTTTAAAGCGATATATAAACACAGGCAACTCTCGGTTTATGAACGTTAGATTTATGAACATTCGCTATAATGAACATCACAATACATTCAAAATTTCTTAAAGTCGCCAGTAGATAGAGTTCATTATAAAACGAAATGCCAAATGTATAGTGAACATAATTGTAAGATTTAATTAAATAAACTTTTAAAAAATGTATTTATTAGAATAATTATCAGAAAATTATTATATGATAATTATACTGTTCTTGGTTAATAAAACTAATCTAGCCAGTAAGAAAACATTGGTTTACATGCCATGCCACGTAGAATGTTTTCTTGTGGGAAATAAATCTGTGATTCCCCCTATTATAATATAATAGAATTGTCACTTGGTTGCAATGTTTAGTACATAGATTTAATGCTTTAAAATGGCTGCTAACATATACGATACATATCATAAAAGCTCAGGAATGCAAGATACACATAACGAACGTCTTGGAACGGAACTCGTTCGTAAACCAAGACTTTCCTGTATAGTGAAGTCTTCTAATGAATGTCAGTGTTTCAGTATAGTGAAAATATTGTTCATCCCCTACCCTACCGAAGGACTATAGTTCTCTTGAAGTGTTATTTAAAGTATGTTAACACTTGCTATGTGATTCTTCTGGCACCACAAGCAAGTTTTGGAATTTTATTTTTTATTTCCGTGTCCAGCAACGTCCAATGGGTGTTCCAGTGTTAGTGAGAGTAATAGCTCAAACCTGATTCGACTGCCATCTAGCAGTGAATTAGGAGACTTGGGTGAGAAATGGCCACTGAAATTTTGCTGACTAAACATCTCGTATCATGTTTGTAAGGTTCTTTTACATGCCGTAAATCTACAACATGGGACTGCTAGCTTTACTTCCCCCTTGAAAGGAAGTTTTGCTACGGATTTTTATCACCCTTTAAAATCAATCGACCTTGGCCGGGCTTGAACCCGCGAACCTTGGGTCCAATGGCAAGCATGCTAACCACTAGTCCACCGAGGGCAACAATATTGTCAATGAGGTAGAGGCATGTTTTGTGAAAGAGTGCAGAGTAGTTGTTCATGCATCATCATTACCAAGGACATTTGTATTATGTATATTTATAGTATGTTGTTGTGTGTCACTGTGTAAAAGAATTGTTGTTGCAGACTACACAACATGCAAGAGGTTAGGTGCAAGTTACTGTGCATTACCGAAGAGTTATGTCCAGCCGAAGTGCTCAGGGCGCACCACCCTTTGCAAAGAGGTCCTCAATGACACATGGGTCTCATTCCCTACCTGGTCAGAAGATTCCACCTTTGTAACTTCCCGAAAAACTCAGTATGAGGAATACATTTACCGCTGTGAGGATGAGAGGTTTGAGGTGTGTATATTTTCTGTGAATCACTTACATTGGCCTCCCTTTATATGAGGAACTTCTTTTCCGTTTAAAAGTGAGGAAGGAATTTACAGTATAATGTATTTCTTGGAGTACACTTGTTTATTCCTCTATCCAGTTCATGCCACATGATGTTTTTGATTTTAAAATTGCTTTTACCTGTTGGTACTATGCTTCACCATAATGAATAATAGCCTGATGTTTTAAATTTTACAATTTCCTTTTTTTAAATTTGAGAGTATTTATAAAATGTTAAGAATTTAAGTTTGGACCTTGTGTGGACAGAAATTTTTATTTTGTAGTTGGATTTTATAAAGATGTCTTAGTATTAATCTTTGTTGAAGCCTATAAATGTAGAATGGGCATTGCCCTCTCCTCTGACCATATTTACAATTAATGTGAAGTGGTATTAAAGTTCAATAAGTTGCTTGCATTAAAATTTTGAAATGAACATTTAGACAGTGACATTTCATATGTTTGGTAGACTTTAAATGTAAAATGTTTGCTTAAAGTCTGCAAGAACTATTTACAATTTGATCTTTACAATATTAACAAGTAATTTTTAAAAGTAATTGGTTTTGTATTGCTTATTTTTATCATTGCAGTTGGACGTGGTTATAGAGACTAACGCAGCCACAATTCGTGTCCTAGAGGGAGTGCAGAAGAAACTCTCAAGGTTGTCTCCTGAAGAAGTGGCAAAGTTTCGTCTTGATGACTGTTTGGGTGGATGTTCACCAACCATCCACCAACGGGCATTACGCAGGTATGCATGTTGCATCAAACATGAGGAAAAGAGTGGATGTATGCTTCACTGAATGTGGTGAATATTCCTAATACTTAATATAACATTGTTTTTGTTTTCTGATTTCAAGGTATGACAAATAGAATGTGTCCAGAATGGGTTGTGTGACTTTTCAATTACTCTCTATAAAGATTCAGCCCACATGATTTGCTCAGAACAACCATATGCTGAAAGATTCATTTTTTAAACTTCCTAGGTTGTGTAGTATAACATCTTGGTTGAAAGTAAGTTTGAATGATTAGCCAGCATGTTGTGTTTTGAGCTTCCAAATGTGACTAAGGTCTTCTTATCAATGGCTTCTTGCAGGATATATGGCGATAAAGCACAGGATATCATTGATGGATTGAAGAAGAATCCAGTTGTAGCTGTTCCTGTTGTGTTGAGGAGGCTCAAAGCCAAGGAGGAGGAGTGGAGGGAGGCACAGAAGGTAACAAAATTTGAAAGGGATGCTCTTTGGAATACACTAATTTGAAGGGCATTCTTTTTCCACTTTCCATGTACACACTATTTAACATTATCTTAAGTATAGCATTTACTGCTAAAAGCAACCATCCCCTTTGCTATTATTACCATTTTCATATATTCACATATCTTAATTTGTATTACTGATACATATCCATTGAAATGGAATAATTATTAGGTGTGCTCAGTAATTCAAACACGTCAACAGATTACATTCTATGACGGCAAATTGGTTCATGTTTTGTAACCAAGTCACAAATATAGTACTGCTTGAATTGTTTATATGATCTTTAAAAGATGACAGTACTGATAATTTACGTAGTTCATAACTGATATAGATGGAATGAGGCATACTGTTCATAGAACTGCTGATGGATTGCACCATTAGTGTTTGTCATTGTTTGATGATTGAACAGATAGCTTACATGACAAATGATGTATAATGTCATCGTATGGTTGGAATTATAGTTTGTGACATTGGTAGGTGGCTGCACAACGTCTCTAGCTGAAAGATGTGATGGGTAGATACATATGCAGAAATGGACTGCCCACAGGGTGTTTTTGCTTATACAAAACAGTTCATAGAACTATCCATTCATATACTCATATTTAAGCACAAAGAGCTTTCTTGTGTTATGTAGGTGTAAAACCCAGTTATGCCAAGTATTTTTTGCATACCATAGGGTTTTAACAAGATATGGCGGGAGCAGAATGAGAAATACTATCTCAAGTCCCTTGACCACCAGGGCATCAACTTCAAGCAGAATGATGTGAAGGCTCTCCGTTCCAAGTCTCTCTTCAATGAAATAGAAACATTGTATGATGAGGTGAGTTCCTGCATTTTGTTTCAAATATGCTCTTGCATTTATAGTAGATATTAGTCATGCAGATGGATCTGTAGTTCTCTTCATTCTGTCAATATGTAATTTTTCTGGAATTGGTTATATACAGTCCAATTCTTAATTGATAACTTCTCTTAAAGGAATGATGGCTTCATATTGGCATTGTTTGAAGTTGAAGTGTAATCTGTTGGTGAAAGTTAACGTTTTCATTATGGGGGTATATTTTAAGTTTTCTTTGCCAGTGGGCTTCATCAAAAGTCAAGACACTTCAACTGTACATTCAAGAAGGAAGGAAATGTATTGAAACTGCTATACTGTGTCTTGTTAGTGATGACAGAAGTGAAAATCCAGATTTTAATTTTTCTGTCCATACCAAACACACATGGAATATCTTTAAAAGGTCTTACAAAGAATGTTCTAAGTTAGGACAATCACTAATTGGGACAGCTAAATATGATATGTGGGCTTGCTTTTTGAGCGCATCAGTGAGATTTGAAGGTTAAACATTGAAGGAATAATTGTTGTATTTCAGAGACATGAACAGGCAGAAGAAGGGTCTGGAGAAGTAGTATCAGGACCGCATTTAATTCTCCCTTATAAGGACAAGACTGTACTTGACGATGCGGCAAATCTGCTTATCCATCATGTAAAGCGTCAAACAGGGATCCACAAAGAAGATAAGCAACGTATCAAGCAGCTGCTCCGTCAGTTTGTCCCAGATCTATTCTTCCATCCTCGCCAGGAACTGAGTGAGGATGAGCGTGAAGAGGAAGGTTCGTGTGTAAATTACCTTATTACATTTAATTTGTGTATGAAAATTTTTGTCCGGGCAATGATCTGATATATGTGAATCTTTCATGGTGGCTGCCATTTATAAGATCTTGAGGCATCAGCTGTGTCAGATGATTGAAACTAGCCAACATTTCAAGTATGATATCTGTCCTGTGACAGAGATGGTCCTTCAAATGATTTTTTTAATTTGGTGGCTAGTTTGGAAATTTTTCTGTCTGTGGCTTACAAAAAGTTCACACTTCTGTAAGTAAAACCAAAATATTAATGTACGTAATTGCTGACATTTTAAATTAGTCCAAGAGTAATTGCATGTTTGCTTATTAGAATATTTTTCCCTCTCCTTTTATAGGAATAATTAAATAGTATTTCTCAGTAACTGCACTGGGTTGAAAATTCAGTTGTGGAATTGGAGCCAGTTAGTATACTAAACAGTAATTGATGAACACTAATATGAATTGTTTTAGTCATATGTGTGAAATGATTTCTTAATTCTGACCTTGAGGTGTACCTATGTGGCCAGAAGTCTTTTGCATTGGGTAAAAAATAAAAAAGCACCTGTCATGAACACAGTGCAGCAGTGTGTAGTGGACTTAATCTTTAGTTTTTACCAATCACTTGTGGCCCTGAGAAGTGTAACAACTGTCTGCTGCGTGGGTTAGGGAAAAATATCCTACAAGGATAGGGCCTATTGACCCATTCGGGACAGTTGCTCAAGGCAACTTGTCATTAGTCTTGTAGGGTGAATTTGAGTAGTGAGTCACAAACCCACTGCCTCTGCACAATTTCTACTCAATCTTGGTTTGTTTGCTAGAGCCATCTAGTAGAGAATCAGGAGAGACGTGGGTGAGAAATGGCTGCTGAATTTTGCTAATGAAACATCTTGTATCATGCTCGTAAGATTCTTTCACATGCCATAAATCTGCGACTTGGGACTGCCGGCTTTACTTCCCCTCTCAAGGAAGTTGTGCTATGGATTTTTATCACCCTTAAAAATTGATCGACCTTGGCTGGGTTTGAACCCACGTACCTTGGGTCCAGTGGCTAGCACGCTAACCACTAGTCCACTGAGGGCTACGGAAAAATATATAAATGCAAATCTGTTCTGATTACAGATGAGAAGGAAGATATTGACATGGAGGGATGCCCCACCACCAGCAACAACAATCCAAATGGTTCAGCATCTGTCACGGCATCCACTGGTAATCCTGCCAATGGAAATTCTTCTGGAGGAATAGCAGTAGGTGGTGGGAAAGGTCGAAAAGGTGACATGGCAGTCAAAAAAGAACCTGATGCTGGGGGAGGGATTGGTGCAGATGGAGAGAGCAAGGGTGGCGATGTGGACATCAAGCTACCACTCCATGCAGTTGCCACACATCCAGTGAGTAATGACATTTGTCATTGTTCTGAGAGAAGTAATGGAATTTATTCATTTATAGTTTATTTAATGATGCTTTTCAGTGACTCGGATTATATAGCATCGAAAGAGAGGATGTTAGGGAATAATGAATTGGAAGGATGACTATGGAAGTGGTTGTGGCCTAATTTAAGGTACTGCTTTGGGATCAACATATGAAGCAGGAGTGATAACCACTAGATCACAATGTTCTGAATACAAGTAGTGGTGGAAAGGTGAAAAATGGATTTTTCATGTTTACTATGAGCTTGTCTCCCAAATTGAGAAAGTACAAGCTGTCTGCTGTGCACTTTTTGTCAATCCGTAGTACTCTTTCTGGTAATTGGTCTTCCTTTTATGAGTGTACTGAAGGAAGACATAATGGTTGATATTAAAGTTATAAGTGTGCTACTTTTTTTAATTCATTGGGTCACTGAAATTTTTATGAGAACTTAAAAATGTGAATGCTTTGTATAATATTGGGTTTTTCATGTGCAGTCTACCATGGCATAAAATTAAATACACTATATTTGCATGGTGTGGCACTCTGGAACATACATGGTGTCTGCAGTGTGTGGCATTACTATAGTATATCTAATATAGGTTATGACAACATGCTGAGATATATTGATAGCAGTTATCAACGACAAATCTGCTGTTATGTTGTATGGTGTAATTGCAGTATGCAGTTTGTCTGGTGCTTTGCATTTTTAATAGTTATAGGGTGCTTAAACCATACACACAGGCAGCCATCAGTTGGGTAGTGGAAATTCAGTCTGTTGAGTATCAGTCAGCTGCTGAGAATAACAAACCTTAATTCAGTAGTGCAAGGAGAACAAATGCAGGAAAGTAAAAAATAAAACCAATTTATTATTGTCCACAAGGCATGAGAGTAGACGTGGCCTTGTCAGACGTTGCTTGTGTGGCAGGGGGAAAGTGGGTTCTGCGCATGCGCTGGTAATGTATTCCTTACCTAAGAACATTGTGCTATCAGTCAGTCAGTACATTAGCTCACAGCATACGGCCTGTATAAGCTGCGGGTGTTTTTCGGTCCGCTAGTAGCACAGAATTCTACCCCACCTCCCTCAATGATGTCAGGTCTACTCTCATGCCTCACGGACAATTAGCATGGTTGATCTATACTTGTGATGCATGGCCAGCTGGATCATGTGTAAGCATTGACATGGTCGATTAATGTTAAGGGATATTCTGAAGTGAAAAATAATTCAGGTTAACTTTGTCAGTCTAAAATTTGTGTTGCATTTCACAAGAAACAACTTAATGGGTAGACAAATTACTGCATTACTTCCTTAACATTTATGTATATGGTCATTACAGAAGTGTGTAAACACACTGATTCTCTGTTAAACAGTTTTTCATGTTCCTCCCATATAAATAATCTTGAACAGTCAGATGAAATTGTAATAAAAAATTAAGTAATTAGATACTTTCCATTTGATAGTAATATTGCCAGTGGGACACAGCTGACTCAGAATAGAAGTACAATGAAACCTCAATGATTCGTTTTTGATGGGGGAGAGAAATAAAAACGATGAATACGGGAAAACGACAGTTGCGGGAAAGCATTAAAAATAAGAAAAAATTAAAATAGTGCATTTTTCTCTTTTGCATACACAAAATAATACACACAAAACCTGTTTCAAAGTAATTCTTTTTGCCAAAAAAAGTCTTTAATGGATAAATTTAGGTTTTAGGCGAATAGAGCCCTTTCCACGTTCAAAACGTTTTCCTCATCACCTTCAAAAATATTGTGCGCATAAAAGAATGAATTCACTTTTTCACCAATGCGGCATGTGCTTCAGCAAAACTCGGCACCGCTTCGGGCTTGTATTCGTCGTTTTCCCCCCTTTCGCGATCGTCACACGACTCATCGATGGTGTCGGCCATGCGTGTGGCAATCTCGCTGTGCGTCTTCCAATATTAATTTATCTCTAAAACGATCATTCTAAATTCTAGAAACATTGCGTAAATCTCGTTATAATTTCTCAGAAACGATCAGTGCGGGAAAATTGTGGGCCAGGACTAAGATTTTTGAACGATTGATGCGATAAAACGACAGTTCAAGGAACGATAGAAGCGAGAAAATGTATCAGTATTTTATATGGGACGTATCAGGGACCGAACAAAACAGATGATGCATCCGGGAAAACGATAGTTTGGGGAACGATGAATAGAGGTTTCACTGTAGTGCCTAAGCCATGTTGCCTGATGTAAGTTTGGGTGTTCATGGAATCTGACTGTTTCTTTGCAAAAAATAATTGAATAGTGGCTATGTCACATGGGCATATGTTTTCTAACTCAAATTATTTATAGATCAAACAGATGTACTCGTTATATTGAAAATAATGAAATAGCATTGTAAATACAACCAAAGAATATTCTATATTTAACATTATTTACATTGACGATCCATAAAGAATATGGATTTGTTGTTATAGCCCTTGCTTATTAAATCACACTTCTACTGTTGGTATGCTGGAGGCACCTGGTTTCAGTCTGAACAAGTGTACCAGAGGAGTATCCTATTACCATTTATTACTGTTCATATTTAGTAGGATTTTAGGCTTTCACAGTGGCGAGTCTAAAGATGGCTGTCTTCGGGGTTGTAGTGCTGTGTATTCTGGTAGAAGTTCACCAGTGTTTCTGAGGTCTTGCTGCTTCCATCATGAGGGTGGTGATGATGGGGGGCAGCAAGGACCTTTAAAACATTGGGAAACTTCTACCAGACTACATTGTGCTATAACCCAGAATACAGCCATATTGTTCATATTTACACTACTTAAACAGATACCAGCTTCTTGTCTCTGCTTCTTATCAGTCATGCAATTCTTATGTAAACATAGGAGTGGCAGTACCTTTTACTTTTAAGTGTGCTGAAAAAACATATCAGTTGACAACAGAATGCAGTGTTGCAAAAACTTGCATACGCCTTATAAATATTACTTGCTAGTTTCTGTGTACCATTCACATGGCATGGCTAGAGGTGATTTTTCCACTCCTCTGTTAACATTAGGATCATTTGGTTAGATGTATAGTATAGAGTACAGGGATGTGTAGAGTCTAAGACTGCAGGACGTCTCTGCATTTAAGCTCCAAATTATGTCCTTTGCTCAGAAACGTGCGGTAGGCATTGATTTATTTTGCATTTGACAAGTTTGGAGTTTCCTTTTAGAAGTCCAGCAGCTTATGAATACTTTGAGCATGGTTTGTGCCGGGTTCTCCTGCCAGTGCAGGATGAGCAATGTGGAGACCATGCAAGAGAAACGTGCAAGGTGATGCAGCTGTTGCAATCATGTAGCAGTGCAGTTAGGCCTTTCATACAGCCTGGGAGCAAATTCAGGTTCTCATGGCAATGAGTATGAATATTGTACATTCTACTGTGTAGTTTGGTAGATATCAAATAGAGGAGATTGCTGCTTCCATCATCTATTACCTTAATGATGGAGGCAGTAAGCTCCCATAAAATGTTTGTCAGTATCTACAAGGCTACACAGCACAGCATTTTATATGTCAGCCATCTTCAGAATAACCACTTTATTCTGAGTCATGTGAAACCCATAAATACACTGGAAAAATGCTGTTACTGATTACAGTGAAACCTCGATGCATCGTTTTCGGCGGGGGTGGGAAATAAAAACGATAGATGCGGGAAAGCATTAAAAATTTAAAAAAAAACAATGTTTCTCTTTCAAAGTTACTTCTTTTTACCAAAAAGGTCTTTAATGGATAACTGGTTTGTCGAAACTTTACGTTTTAGACCAAACAGAGCACTTTCCACGTTCAAAATGTTTTCCTCGTCACGTTCACTAATATTAAGCGCATAAAAGAACAACTTCACTTTCGCCAATGCAGCGTGCGCTTCGGCAAAACTCGGCAAAGCTTCGGGCTCGCATTCGTCGTCTCCCTCTTCCTCACCACTCCAACCCCCTTTGCGGACAATAACAGGAAGAATGGAAATACTATTACTGCCGAACTCAACGAAACGTAGCTGTAGAAGACCCTGACCCGCTGGAAACGAGATGAACCAGAAGAATGAAAAGTGCCGCCAGCCTTTCCTTTGTACTTGTAATAAAAGCATTTGTGAAGAAATTCACAGTGCACATGCCATTTGGCATCGCTGGAACGAAATATGAGTGCACCCAAATTAAAATCGTAAAATTTCTGACAATGAGCACTGCCATTCACTCCAACTATCACCCCTGCACCGCTGACCCTCATTCCAAAAGAATGTGCTGGTTGGGCGACATAACAGGTTACCGCTACTGTTTATTCCAAAAACATTGTGCGTCTTTCGGAATTAAATTCTAAAAATATCACGTAAATTTCGTTACAATTTCTCAGAAACGATCATTGCGGGAAAATTGTGGGCCGGGACTAAGATTTTTGATGCGATAAAACGATAGTTCGAGGAACGATAGAAGCGGGAAAATGTAACATTATTTTATATGGGATGTATTCGGGACCGAACAAAACGGACGATGCATCCGGGAAAACGATAGTTCCGGGAACGATAGATAGAGGTTTCACTGTATTAATAATGCTGGTAATATGTATAGTTTCCATTGGGCTTTAAAGGTTTAATCTGATGCAACTTATTACTTTTTTCAATATGTCTTGATGTTTGGTAACAACCATTCTATGCACATTTAATTAGATACTAATGTATCACTGTATTATTAACAAAATGATGTAACTTATTTGATTCAGGATGAATGTTACACCTTGATGTTTGGCAACAACCACTGGTATCTGTTTCTGCGCCTGCACCAAATACTTTGTGAACGGCTCACTCGTATGTATGAGCGAGCTGTTGCTCTAGCTGCTGAAGAGGCCAAGCTGCGACAGGGACGCAAGGAATCCACAGCTGTTGCTCTGCGGCTCAAGCCCAAGAGTAAGTTGGTTCAAACACACTAATGAGTTATAATACTGTTCCAGTTATATTGAAATGCATTTGACAGGGAGTTTCTGAAAATGAGTGTTTGTGGAGTGACGGCACCACACGGGCACCGTGTTTTGAAGCCTTCAGGTATGAAGGAAAAGGCATGGTCTGAAACCGATTACTGTACTCATTTATGTTTAACATGCAGCTCCCCCTCCCCAGTTTCTTCCCCACCCTGCTCATTAGAATGTTTATTTGGCACAATTTCAAATCTGATATTTATTTGTCATTATTGAGCAGTTTGATTGGCATTCACATTGAATGAACTATGAAAGGTAACTCTGCCTGCCTAATCATCAGATATATCATACTGCATTTGTTTTTACACTGCCTACATTTTATTTGTTTTGAAGCATGGTGTACTTGAATACTTGATTTTCCAATCCAAAAATAAGTGTGTGTGTGTTATATATGAACAAATATGATATAGATTCTAGTAGATCATTTGCATGTAGTTCCATGTAAATGCTACCCAGTGATGAGAACTCTGCCGTGCAAGGGGGACTGTCTTCAACTAGGCCCTTGGTGATTTTATTTCTGGCCGGGGAGGGCCAGAACCTTGGGCCTGTCAGAGACAGGGTTGACCCTGTGTGCATAGATTATGAGACCTGAGGGTATGCATATAGCATTGATGTTGTCATAGTGTGGTTGTGAATGTGAATTAATGAACATTGTCCTCTTGAAGGTGAAATTGAAGTGGAGGACTACTATCCTGCTTTCCTGGACATGGTGAAAAATGTTCTGGATGGCAACATGGACAGCAATGCATATGAAGATACATTGCGTGAAATGTTTGGGATCCATGCCTACATAGCTTTCACACTGGACAAGGTCGTCACATATGCAGTTAGACAGGTAACTGCATTCCTCCTGAGACACTTTGTATCTTAGTGGCTAATGAATATGAAGGTACATTCTGGGTTAGAAATATGAACATTCATTCTGTTTCCTGCAGCAAAGTCTTATTTTCACAGTGTATGTGGTAGCATTTGATTACAATAAATTATGCAAATATAAAACTTAGTTAATTTTTTTCTTATTGAGACTTAAGTTTGATTCTGAGCAGTGTTATAAGTAGTTTTTAAACAGATTTTCTGTGTGCAAGTCCACATAAATAGAAGCTTCTGCTATCAGCAAATGTAAGTGCAATGTACCTTTATTGTGTCATCTGTCACAATTGCCTGGTTTTTATTTCCTATACATTTACCTTTGTTTAATGGTAGGATATAGAGGTCTTGTCTTCATTCCCCATTTGTGGAAGAATGTTATATATTATTTTTGAAGACCAGCTATCCTGACAGGTTTTTGTGGTTTACATCAGTAATACCTAAACAAATAAGGCTGTAGCTGTTTCCATCCATTTTGTTTCCCAATCTGTTTTTCATTAAATCATTCTGTCATCTGATGATGAGTTGGGTAGCTGTCAGTATAGATAAAGTGACTGGCTATGGACTGGACGATGGGTTCGATCCCCGACGAGCAGAGGGTTTTTCCTCTAGCTTCTACATCCAGACCAATAGCAGTTTTTTGAGGAAGATTTATCTTGTTTCTTTTCCCCTCTCGTCGTTTAACTCATATTTTATACATTAAAACTGGATACAAATTTTAGTTGCTTCTTGATATAGAAAAACAGGAATTTATTTTAGAATTGCCCTATTTTATCAAATATGCTGTGCACTTTTTCTAAGAGAATTTTACATAAAATTGGTGTACTCCTCATTCATGACAGTTGGCTGCAGTACTTGTGCACATGCACTGTTTAACATTAGTACTAAGGGCATATGTTTATGATTTTTCACTTCTAGTGGAAGACAATTTATGAGACGGATGAAATTTTAAATTACATTGTTCATACAAAGTAGGACATAGGTGAAAGTTGTAATAAAGACTGGAGAAAGAAAGTTGATACTGCGAATCAGTAATAGTCTGACAGCCTTTTGTGGCCAGAAAGTGAACTATCTTTAAATAAAGCTTTACAAATTGTAAGAATGAAGTAGTAGTTTGGGGTGTGTGGTATTGTCCAAAATGTGCCCTTGGTGAAACATCGGATGCGTGGCTTTATTCAAGGGTGAGGTATTCAGGAAAATGTGTTCTCCAAGTATTTTCCTTTATGTGTCTCTTGAAAGAGTGAGGAGTAAAATCCCATATAGTAAAACCTGCAACAGGGACTTCTCATGTTTCCTCATTTACTATGATGAATAGTATTGCTCTGTGATGAGAACTCTGCCTTGCAAGGGGGACTGTCTTCAGCTAGGCCCTTGGTGATTTTATTTCTGGCCGGGGAGGGCCAGAACCTTGGGCCTGACAGGGACAGGGTTGACCCTGTGTGCATAGATTATGAGACCTGAGGGCAATACCTGCTTTTCCTGGAATATGCAGTTAATATGTTCCTTATTTGTACTGTATAGTGCTTCCAGCAGGTGTCTTTATAAAGCTTCTTGGGATAGTGCTTAGTATGTTTTCCTGCTGCATTAGCTTTTCCCAGTGAATCCCATAAAATGTAATGTTCGTTGCTTTTTCCTGTCATCAGTCCGTGTCTGAAAGGTATTTTTGTAGATTGGAGCATGTTCCCTTAAGCAGTAGGCTTGCTAAAGTTCAGGAGGTATGTACTTCAGATCTAGCTCAGGGAACTTGTGTGTTTTATAATAGGAGGGAAAGGGTGATGCTGATTGTTTATTAAATTGCACACTTTTTGTCAGTAATACATGCTTAGACTATAATTCTGTTAGGAGCACTGTGAAACAGATTAGTAATATGGACTGGACACATACAATGACACGAGGTTAATTAAACACTACAGTGTAAACAGATGACTTAGTGCAAAAGAAAAATTCAATGGTCATTACAACTGAAAGTGTGTGCTAATGCCTCACATCCAGAAAAAATTAGTAGTACTGGATAGTGCCCGTTAAATAAAAAGATCTTTTAAGTCAGTGGTTTACTGTACTTTAAAATTGACTGTGACTTCTACTTCCTTTTCTGTTTCAATTTACCGTATAGGCATACAGCAAGCTTCCTCCGATCTTATTTGACACTAAACTAATTACTGTATTTTATATAAAATAATAACCTGCAAACTAACTTTGATATATTCTGACTGTAAAAGTTTATAAAACTGCTTTAGTAACTCCCTTTTTCAAGTACATCAGAATTTTCCTGTTTTGTCGCAAGATCCACAGAATTTTTCCAGTGCCACAAGTACATTTCCTGAACAAATATTTTGGGGTTGGGGTAATCATGGTCCATTTATTCAGTCTCTTCAAAGTTTTAATATCTTCCACATTTATGATTTCATATTACAGGTCTAGAAATAATGTATGCATTATAATGTTTGCAGTTGCAGTATCTTGTATCGGATGAGTCCTGTCAGGAGTGCATGGAGTTACTGCAGCAGGAACAGCGCCGTGGTGGTGCAGGTGGCCTGTGCGGTACGGCACACCAGAGGGCAGGTGCTGAGCTGGCATACCAGCGGCGTGCAGAGCAGGCCTTGGCAGACGAGAACTGTTTCAAGATTTATGTGGTATGGATGTTTATTGAGAACTGATTTAATTTCTTTTCTCTTATCCTGAAATAGTAGTGGCTGCCTCTACTGGGTTTTCTTTGTATTGCAGTACAAGCATGACTGCAAGCTGACATTGGAGTTGCTGGACACAGAGATGGAGGAACCTGAACCAGTAGCTGAAACGGAGAAGTGGTCATCATACGTTGAACGCTTTGCCAATAGTGGGGTTGATGGTGTAGCAGGCTCAAACAACAGTGCTGTGGCTGCTGAGGGAACTGAACATCCAGATCATCGCATGGAAACATCTGCTGATGAAACAGATGAGGTGAATATTTGCAGAAGATCCAGTCATCTAAAAGTGTAGCATTGTCATGATTTTTTATGTCTTTGCAGAGTTATATTCTATTGGATATTTCTTTGCCAATTTGTGTCATATTAATTAATTGTGAAATATTGGTATATAAGCTGACGTGTTTAAAATAATTCAACGTTTTCATCGATGTTTCTGAATTATGTTGTTTTAAACCATTCAGGAAACACCTACCTTGAATTAATTGCCACAGTTTAATGTGAAGTGATGAGAAAAGTAATGTTTACTGTTTCTCTGAGTGGAGAATTCACTTGAGCTTTGAACAGAAGTACACGTCAGCACAATTACTCGGCCATTCTGATACATGGTATATAAGCGTTGGCTGATTTTAAATTCTCCATTAGTTTCTATCTTTATAGTTTTTTTATCTCATCTTGAATTTTCAGTATTTCATATAGTATTCAGTATATTAGTTGGGTCACTTGTAACACACTCATAAAATAAATTATCATATAGACTTTCAAAAGTGGGAATATTTATAGTAAAGGCAGTGTTTTTAGGACAGTATTCAGTATGCCATCACACCTTCGAGGTCATACTTCTGTGCTGAGACGGAGTAAAATGCAGAGAGGTATTACATATTGAATGTAAATTATATATATATTTTTTTAAAATTCTGAATTGAATACAACTGAACAGCATATGAACATGTGCATAATGGTTTTGGTTTTCTAGTGTTGGCATGTCTTTTGAAGCATGTAGTATTGTGGGAAGGGAAAATATTTGTATCAGATGTAAATTCTAGAACCTGTTTGGTTTGGCCATAGTCTTATATTGGTACATGGTTTCATTGGCAGCTGGAACCATTCCTTGGAGGGAGGCGGCGTCGTAAGCCAGTGTTCCTTCTTCGGAATGTGAGGCTGTGGCGTAAGTACTCGTGCCAGATAAGACAACCACCAGACAAGCAAGGAATTGAAAAGACAGGTCGAGGCAAGCAACAGGAATCTGGGGCTGAGGTTGCAGAAACCATGAGTCAGAGTGACATGGTTGTGGAAACTGCAGGTTCACCAAGCAAGCAGCAGGACTGCAAAGCAAAATCCAGGTGAGAGCCTAGAGTCATGAGTGCTGAGTTCTATACCCATGACATTTTGCTGAAAGAACTGGGGCACTCTTAACCTCTTTGAAAAATAATTTAAATCCTATTTTTAAGCTTTCTATTTGACAGTATATGGGACAAACAAAAGCAAAAGAAGGGCATTTAAAATTTGCACTTTTTGGAGTATAATATTTGAAAACTTCATTTTGTTACCAGAGGTTTTTATTTCAGCTCTGAGGATGAAAGAACAAGTGAAGTTGGAGTGGGCGAGGAGCATGCCTCAAAGTGTCGACTAAATAATGTCGCTGGCAGTGGAATGGCAATAGTTGCAGCAGACAACACGCAATGTCGTTTCAATATCAATGCATACCGCATGGTGTTTGTGGTGAATAAGGAGAACCTTTTGTACAAACGACAGGCCCTGCATCGTGCGAGACAGGTTAGTTTCATGGATGTGCAAATGCCCATATTTATAAAATTAAAAGCAAATTCTAAATTCCCATTTATTATTACTAATGGTATCTAGAAGGCTTACTACTGTGCTGTGCTGTTAATAGGTAACCAGAAAATGTTTTCACATTGTCCAGTTTAGTTATTGGCTGTTTTTCATAAAATAAATATTGAATAGCTTTATTGCAACATAAAATATTTTCCTTGTGAGTTCTGTAAATTTCGTTTGGATAATTTTTTATTGTGGTAACGATATTTTAAGTGGCTTTTAAGCTTGAAAGACACTCCTGATTGGTTTTGCATTATCAAGAAGTACAACATGAACACAAATTATGTGAGCAGTTTTAAGTGTTTCACAGAAATTAAAAATACATCACTGGAAGGAGAACTTCAAAAAATGTTTGACATGCAGGAGAAGTGAAAACTTCACAACAATGGACAGGCTACTAGTAGCAGGACTGTGACATGGCAGTAAAATGGATACTCAACCCAAGAACGTATTTTGTATACTCCAGTTCCATTCCACAAAGTCTGTGACCACTGTTTAACAGGATTTTAATAGCAAATTCTGCAGAAATTCTCCATGTTCAAATTCAATTCACTTTCTTGGGTCGAGTTGCCATTTTATTGCTTTAAAATTGACTGCACTGAATGGCTTCAGTCTATTTTCTTCTTCTAGATTCTTTAATGACAAAGGCAACCCCCTAAACACCTAGTTTGTTTCTATGTGGCTACTTTAACATGTTGCACTTCTAGGTCCTCTTCCCATACCCACTATTTTTTCCCCCCTCTCTCTTTAAACACCCCCCCCCCCCAAATAATGTGAGTACATCAAGAAATTTGTAGCCTGGTTTCTCATTCCATAAAGTGCTAGTATGAATGCATGGTCCTATTTTGTAGGCACTTATGGGTTTGAGGATTCATGATCTACATGCTGTAGGTTGCACATGCTTGCCGTATTTCATTGTAAGTCTGAACAGGTTACCTTGTCAGAATTTTTTTGATTTTGAGGTGCTGAGTGGATAATAACAGGAGTTTCTTCTGCCAACAGTCTCATTCATTGGTATCTGTGCGGTTGAGCTGCAAGTTCCGTGGCTGGCACGGGAGGTGGGCATCACAGCATGTGAGTGATCCTCAGCAGAAGGCATGTGTAGACTGGCTGATGGGGCGTGGTGAGGGTGTTGTGCCCAACAGGACACGAGTGTTGACAGACAATGATGTTGCACGGCCTCCATACAGATCATACAATAGGTACAGGGTGGACAGATTGGTGACATCTGCTAGTGGTGGCAGCGAGCCATGAAGTGATGACGGCCGGATGTGTAATGCCATATTGTGCCTAGTCAAAATGCAGCACAGTGTGTGTGGTGTAGTGAGGTGTGCTGCCCTGTGAATCTACTTGAAAGCAATATGGACTGCGGGTACTGCAGCTAGATGAAATATCAGCCATATCAATGTCTAGAAAGCACAGTGAGCAACTCGAGAACTAAGGCATAAACCATTACTCGTATGTTGTGTGTATATTTGTGAAAAAGAAGTGTTTTTATTATTTTTTGTACTTAATTTAAATATCGTTGAAAAGACATTTCAAATAGTGTCCCTCTATAAGCTTAAACATGCCATTTTATTGGGCCTTTTATGCAGAGTAATAAATCATCAGTTACAACTAATGGTTAGACAGTCTTGAAGACATTTATTGTTTTTCAATATGAACAGTACTGCTGTGCTGTTCTCATTTCCTTGTAATCACCACACACACTGACAGTACAAAATGAAGCCATAATCTTCACTGCAACTCTTCATGTACAAATGCATAATAATAGCTCGTGTCTATCCACAAGCAAATCTGGTAGAAGCTCTTAACAGATCAGACAGAACCAGAACCAGAGGCTAGCATACTTGCTTCAGACATTTCGTTTCCATGATGGTATTCAGAATAACTGTATAAAATAGGCTGAGTTTCACCTAGTGGTGATTACATACACCAACAAGTTAGAATTTATTTTAGAACTGTGTATTAAAGGTGTACAGGCTTCTATTCCTGTTGTTTTATTTTTCTCTGCAAAAGGCCAATAGTGTGGGAACCCTGTGTGATGCCCATGACAATGCAGTTTTCACTCCACTCAGGTGCTAATTTTTTACTTACCAAATGGTTAAGGACATTGGGCAGGAGAATCATATGATTTTGCTAAAGAAATTATTTATTTTTCTAATAAAAGTTTCAAGAAAACTTAAAAAAATATAAACCAGAAGTATTTTATTTATTGATGAGAAAACTGCTGTCAGGGTGTGTCTCACGTGTTAGTGTGATTGCTCAAGTAACTTCATGTGGACTGCGAACTTCATTTCGTATTTTGGAAATCTGTGGTTTGATGTTTTCTGACTAAAATATCATCTTCTCAATCTTCTGTATTTGCCTAATATCAGAAGGCATACTTTGTTAATGTCATCAATATTTGGCATTAACACTTGCTGTTTATTTAGGAATGTCATGTCAAGAATTAGGTTGTATTTCAATGCTGAGAACCTGAATGGATATACACAAGACACCAATAGAAATTTGCACCTGATTTTGAAAGATTAATAAAAAGAAAGCAGAGCCCTGTACCTCATTAATAAACTATTTTGGTAAAGAAATATATTGATTAAAATGTTAACCTGGTTGCAGTTGTAGGGCTAATTTAGTAGCATTTTTTAATAAATATTTTAGTAAATGTCCTCATGATCTTGCTGCCCGCAAGTTGGTAAAAGGTAAAGCTTGCCCCAGGTCTTGACTGCTGATGTAAGTGATGGGTGGTTATTTATGTCATTAGTTTCTGCTGATTTTTTATAATCAAAGTTTTCTTTGAATTCTTCGTTTACTTCCTGTCCTGTTTAGTCACACTGTGGGTTCAAATAAATTATGTAGCTGATGCATGATTACTGAATTTTTCTTGCAGATGCTGTTTATTTCCATTCATAGTTATACATCTTATGTTATTCCGTCTTATAGTGTGCTCTTGTGTGGTATATATTTTTATAAAGTTGATGGTCAGACATGTAACCTCTTTTTGTGAAAGTAGTTTGCAGGAATATAGTTCCCTGCAGACAGGAAAGCTTCCCTTTTTGAACTTGGTCTGAATGCTTGTTTTGGTGGTGAAGTATTTGTGCAGTCTATCTTCTAGAATTGTTCATTGCCATTTGCACTATTCCAGTGTTAACATGATGCAAGCAATAAATTAGATGCATGCCGTAATCCAGGCAGACACTGGCTTTTTACTGCATATGCCCAGGTAAAATTCCAAATGGTCCCTGTAAGATTTATGGCAGGCCAAGTACCACTGGACCACATTTGCTCCGAAGTGTTGTTTCCAGAAAATCATCATTGTACCAGCAATCCATATTTGGCCATCGCCACCCCTAAAAGCATGCAGTAGGCTCAGTTTTCACTCATCTTCCAATCACAAAGCTGATAAGTTTCTGCACTGAAGTAAGGAAACTACTCTAAGAGATCAGATGTTAAACATGTTCAGATTAATCTCCTTTAGCATGTGCACGCTTTATCCACATTTCTTGTCACTGCTGGAAGCACCTCTTGAACTGAATTTTTGGAGTTACCACCAACTTCTCTATTGCAATTTATGATGATTATTTGATGGGTACAAAGGCTCTCCCACATGTGAATTACTGTGCTTAGCTAAAAATTGCCATACAGGCTGATCTGAGTGGGAATGTGCATTGTCAAATTTTCTCCAATTTCACAGGTTTGGAGCCTTCTCAGCAACTAAATATAAATGTTGGAACATAGTTATTGTGCATAAAACTTTCATAACCAAAGGAACTAATTAACATTTTGCTGTAACTGTATATCTGGCTTTTCTTTTTTCTGTCATGGCAAGGAAGGGGCTTTCAGTTATATTGTTGATGCATAACTTCAGTGTTATCACCTTAGGCCAATATTTTATTATCTATTTTACTTGTTAAGAAGTTTTCACTACTTGCTACACATAAGCAAGTTACAAGTAACAGACAAGCTATTTTCTTTGTGCTTCTGTATTGGCAGTCTTGGAATGAAATAGGCACCATTAAAAAAATAATTAAAGTGACTTGATGCATGCCATCAGAAATTTGTATCTCTTCAGCCACTTCACAGATAGTATTTCTTCTGTCATATTGCACAAAATAACTCGCTTCGGTTACTGATTCAACATTTGTTCTGTTTTAAGTGTCCAGAATGCTCACCACTGTCAACAGACAATTTAGCCCTCTTTGAAATTGTGGAACCACTCAGAACCTTGTGTTTAGCTTTTTATGTCTCCAGATGCTGTTTACATCAGTTGATGAGTTTAAGTTACTGTCTGTCCAGTCTTTGAGAAATGTAATGCACAGGTAGTGTTTTGTACTTTTGGACATTGTTAAAATTGTTATTACAGAAATGTCAACAGCCTGACCATGAAATATTGAGTCACTGAAATGAGCTGTGTTACATGAATTGACATTGCACACAGATATCAGATCATCATTCCATCCCATTGTAATTTATCTGAGATATTAATTCACTCTCAAGCCTGGTATGTTTGTCAATCAAATCGGTATTATCTGTAAATATAGTGAAATCAGTCTGTAAAGGAAGAAAAAGGGACATTTTTTCTTTTCTATTCAGGTTTCTCTGTCATACAGGCACATACTACTAAATTAAGGATTTATGTGCAGAACATATCTCATATACAGTACTCTATTTGTTCATGATGCATAATTGGGTGATACATTTTTAACTTCATAATACACAGCGCTTTAGTCTTTCCAGTGTTGCTATAAAATGTTCCGCATGTAATTTTTTCATGTAGTGGCATGGCTGTCAGTATTTGTGCTCTGCAAATTATATTGCATAGTTCAGAATTACTTTTGATTTCATAAAACCTGGTGATCCTTCATGTTTTGTAAGAGTGTCATGGTAAAACTTAGGTTGTATTCCACCTGGCGATCTTGGAAGGTTCTTCCCCCATTTTTTCAGTTTTCTTCTTGCAGGCATGCTGTTTGCAATGAACTTCCTATATCCTGAAAGCAGCTTTAGTTTCATAGTTAGAATTAGTGTAAAAAATTTATCTGCTCCAACATTTTCAAATGTAGCCTGATTAAATGATGTTTCCATTTACTTCTTTTTCACTCGATCATATCAACTCCACCACCACGTACGGATTTGGGCTTTCAGCCTTTGCCAATTCGGAATTACTTCTAAATTATGAATCAGTTTGCAGTTCAGTGCTCCTTGGATGGGTGAACAGCCATCACAAGGCCTTTGCCTATACAGGGCAGTACAACGCAGGTAGATGACAGACATCCATGCCTCGAGCAGGATTCAAGCCTGCAATCCAAGTGACCAAGACCAATGTCCTAGATGATACAAATGAGATCAGCCTTCACTTCCATAGCACATAGAAAATTTTACTTTATGGAAACATTGCCAAATCTGTTTGTGGCAACACTTGTTACTTCTATTAGGCAAGTGACTGCATCAAGCACAAAAATAAAGTTGGCAAGTTAGGTGGCAAAAAATGTGGACTTCACATAGGCCGGCAGTGATCACGAGTTCATGATAGTTTGTGTCTGCTTTATGCACTTTATAATGACCATGTAAGCCTTACATTGGATGGTTCAGTTCAAGGATTGCATGTTACATTGTCTAAAAACAATATTGTTTGTGTTTCAGCCATTCCTCCATTACATGTTATCCACACTTCTTTGTTATATTTGCAGATGTCCTCAAGTACCTTTCTGTTGTTCTGAAAATGTGGTTTAGTGACCTTACCAGCCATAAAGTCATTGAAGAAAATTTAATCTGTCTTTCATATATTTTCCACTCTTCCATGTCAGAGACTTGAGCTTGGTAACGCAAAGAAAAACCATCCCATTTCTTAATCTGAAATATTCTTTGGTTTGTATCCTAACATAATTAAGATAGTTTGGTAGTCAAGTCTGCTGAAGTTTTGTCACATACATTGACTGCTTCACCACAAACATTTTTAAAACTATTTAATGTCTTTTGGAAGCTCTGTATCCATACATTAGATGCTCAAAATTCACTATTCCACAAAGTTTTAGTTACTTATTTTGTATATTTATACATATTTATAGCCTTTTCAGTTACAAATTATTTCCACTCAATGTCTTGATCTTCATTCCATTGAACCATTTACCCATTGGTTTCTGAATGCTTGACTTAGCTTTTAAAATGTACACTTCAGTTTTTCAAAACAAAGTTTTGACACTTTATAACTGTTTGCTTCTCTTATTTTGCATGCTTCAGTTATGCAATATTTGTGTGAAGATATAACACTACTACCTTTTTTAGACTCCATGGCTGCAACTAAATGAAACAGCCTTTTGACTACTGTACCCTCAAGGAAATTCTAAACTCTTGGCTGTCAGTCAAATAAGAGCTGACAATGGTTGAGGCTACAGTTCTAAACAAAATTATATGAAAACAAAAAGTAGACATAAGGTAATATTTTTTGCAAAATCCTGCTCTTGCTTTCTGTTCCCAAGTTTTTTCTTCATTACAGGTTATTTTATACTGCTTTTTTTTATGTCCTTGGGAATGCATAAGAGATAGGTTTCTGCTTCATCCTTTTCCCATTGAAGACAGGTTTCAATGTATTTTCATTTCTGAAGTACATAAACACTAAATTATCTCTACCCAGAGACCAGTTATATATATATACACATAGGTCAGAGATGAGTGTTACAGATCTCATGAGCATGAGCATGGAAGGCTGGAGGAATGATGATGAACAAGGAAAACTGAAGAACTCTGAGAAAAACATTCCAGTGTTGCCTTGTCTGTCATGAATATCACTTGAAATAATTTTGGATTGAACCTGGGCCTCTGGGGCCAGAAGCCATTGTCTAGCCGGTTGGGAATACTTAACTTCTGTATACTTCATTCTCCATAAGCATTATTTTTAAATTAAAGAAACTGCAATGCCCTGTATGTGGACTGAAAGTAGATAAGTTATGGCTGTATTGTGAAATGTTTTACACATGAAAGCCACTAGGCTTGAAGGCAGCTACTGTGGAGTTCATTGTTTTGGATGGGTGTTTTTTTATCTAATCGTCTTGTGGTTACAAATAGATGGAATTTGCAGTGGTTAGTTCGATAGAAAATTGGCCCATTTCATGTGTAGGGTGGACCTAAATTTCTCACAGTTCACCTTAATATAGAAAGGACAATGTTCCAATATCTTTGTACTGAGAACAACCTGCAATATTACATGCTTGCTTTTCTTTGTGGGCTCATTTTGGTTGGTTTGTCAGAAATAAAATTACTTGTCCATGTTACTTGAGCGCACATACCATGTGAGAATGTAGTCCTGTGATGCATTCATATAGTACAAAGACATTTTGTGGAAGACACAATACAGAGTTTCTGATTTTCAGAGTAGGTAGAAGACAAAACTTATATCTTTAATAGGATATACAAATAATTCCTGATTTGTAAATATGTATAAAATTTCTTCCCCCATTCTGTAGAAATCATTCCCACCATTTGGGTGAAGACATTGAGTCTTTATAAAATGTGGTTGCATTGAAAGCAGAATATGTAAGAAAGAAGTATGACATTTTCGCATGAGATTTAAAACAAAATTATGCTTGACAAGTTTTGTAAATAATTACATTGTATATTTGTGATGAGTTCAATTTAATAAACAATTCTCTGTACAGTTTATGAATGAAAAGCAATAGTGTTATATTTGTGACAAGTCTTTGGTCTCCTTTCTTCGTCGTCCATATTCTTTCAAGAGTTTAAATGGACTCACAATCTGGGATAAAAGGAAGGTGTATCATCATCAACAACATTATTTTTGTTAACATTTAAATTTGTTAGCTTTGATTTTTTGTTGTGGACATAATGTGTTTGCTAACAAAGAGGGAAACATGTTTTTGTTATCAGCAGGTACTCACATGAAAAATGTGTTGTTAATTAAGGTTTGTTTAATAGGGCTGATAACAGATTAATGAAACAAATTGTCACAATGGGAGGTCAAGGCAAAAATAAATTGTATGTGCCTTACATCAATCTGTGGAAGTGAAGTTCAACATATCTTTGTACCTCATGGAGGTGAGTGACAAGCTTTGTCCTACAGCTGCTTTAACCCCTGGAAAATTAAATTATGTAATGACATGTAGCATGACGATGACAAGTTCTGTGTGGTGGTCGGAGAATAAGAAGCCCACGCATGTCGTAAGAGGCGACTGAAATTGTGTACCTGGTGTCAGGGGGTATAGCTGGACCACCCTGCCTCTGGAGGATATAAATACGGAGGCCTGGCACTCCAGGGTGGGGGTTGGGCATGGGGCTAACACCCCCACCCTGTTAAAATCACTTGTTATGAAAGTTCAAAGCAAAGAATCCGGATGGACTATTGCACGATGATTAGACAAACGAAGAAGGTCTAATGATTCAAGTATTTTTACGTGGAATGTTCTCTCCCTCTATAGGAGTGGAGCTCTCCGAATGTTAAACTAACGAATTGATAAATGTGCACATGCCACAGCAATGAAGATGTCCCCATTCAAGAGAATGGTATACGGAGGAAGAGACATAATCACCAGCTTTACAACTTGTATAATGATGTTAAAATATCGAAAAAACCCAAAATTTCCAGAATGAAGTGGCCAGGACATGGGCTCAAAATGAATGATGAGCCCACAAAGAAATTGATGCTAGGTAAACCTGATGGTACAAGAAGACGTGGAAGACCCAAGTTGCGATAGATTGATGGGCTTGGAAAAGATTTCCACAACTTCAGTATTAGAAACTGACCATTCCCGATAGAGGCGTTATCTTGAACAGACCAAGACCCACCGTGGGTTGTAGCGCCCATGATGATGACAAACAATGAAAGATGGTCAGACCTTACAGAAATATGAAGATCCAGACAATGACATTAGGAAATTATAGGGATACAGAGTGATCATAAGGTAGTGGAATCTGAAAATTTAATATCACTAATACCAAAATCACTACTGGGCACAATAATCTTTAAACAAAATTGAAATCTTGTAATTTACTTTCGTTAGATGCAGCTGATTACTGTATTATCCAGACATGTCCTTGGTCTTCAAAAGGTTTCCCCACAGAAATACTGTTTCCATTTTGTTTCCCCTCGACAAATTACGTTCCCAGACTGTTGCAACATTATGTGACTGCCCTAACAGTATAAGGTGACCTGTACAAAATACAATTGCCTTGCTATAGTCCTCATTTGCTTGCTTAGTATTTGAGCAGTTGGGAACATAAACTTTTGACATTAAGATTTCTGAAACTAACAATGAGCATAAAGTTGAGAACATGTTTAGTTGGTTGTGTCTGAATCACCGGGTCATTGCTGGGCCCGGTCTTTCCAGAGTTGGCACGTCAGAGACCAGGTCTTACAGAGACGGGATCTTGCAGAGACCAAGTCCGGCACAGACCTGGTCCATCAGACAGTAGGCCACAGACCGGTTCTGGCAGTGATCATGTGGAGAGAATTTTGCAAAAAAATCAAATATGCTAGCAAATGTCTAAAAAGCGCACAAAACTAAACTAAATAAGCCCATCTCACTCTTCTTGGCTTAATCACCCTGAAGATGTGACTGATATAGGCAATATTAAGTCATGTCGCGTGTTTGTCTTTACTCGCATAATGTTAAATCTTCTTATACTATATAAACTACGTACCTAGACATTAAGTATAAAATATCAATGTAATCTATAAAATCTTAGATGCCTCTACTCTGGTGAACCGATTTAAAAAAAATATGACAAAAATATGCCATAGAAATTATGTGATTTTTGATGCAGAACCAGAGAGTTAACAAATAAATGTTGGAAAAATAAGGCTACGCCTTTTCATAAGCATAAACATTTGTCAGTATAAGTTCTCTTTCTTCTTTGAATACGACTGGCAATATTAAGTGATTCTGATACTAGAATGTGCCATTTAAGCTGCATTGTTCAAGTGATGAGCTGACTGACTGAAGTCCAATTCCCTAAGAGACGCAGGGACTTTTCTCATTGCCACCACATCCAGACTGTCTCAGGGACCTATTTTATCTCGTATCTGGGGTTCCCTCCATTAGGGAAAAGCAGTGGCTGAAGAGTGAAGTTAACCTACCACTTACTTTCATACACTTCTGAAGTGCAGAATGTGTGTAGGTCCATATAAATCTTCACAGCTTAGAGCTTATGTGCAGACACAACTTATATTTACTTAACCTTTTGAATCCAGGGTGTGATGCTGACCACTTGCCCCCATCCAGTGCTGAGGTTAAGAATGAGACGGAGCTATACATCCTCTTCCCCACCCCTTCCACATGCCTATATGGCTTTACTTTTTACTTTAAATGAAGCAGAAGCACATACAAATAATACTTAATAATTCAGTCTGTACCACAAAGAAAACACTACACTTAACCATTACAAAGATCAAATGGTTAATGCTGTTTAAGGAAGCAATTGCTGTTTACATCGAGAATCATATGAAAACCATAGATACAAAGTGAAGAGTTACTGATTGTTGAAGTTCAACAGTTGAACTGGAACATATAGTTACCACTAGGCTTTAAATAAGGCTTAAAAATTTTCTTCTGCATACGTTCAGCAGTAGGGACATGTTTTCAGCTTAGGTTGCAATCTTGAATTCCTAACTACAAATGATTCTATGCTGCAAAGAAAGTAGAAAATAGTAAGTAGGAATTGTAAGTTATTCTTCGTTTAATAAATTAACTTATATTTTCTGTATTATTCATTTATGTATTAATTATGAAATGTTTAAAAAATGCAGGATACGGACGTTAGTAAGCCTAGTGGGAATGAACTTCCATGTTCTTTACCTGCTGTTCTGTTGAATACGAAGATTTTGTTACGTCATGTTTCCGAAACAAGATTTCAAACATATCACTTTTAATTGAATTTGTATATGCTAATGTTGAACAATGTCTTATTTGAGATTGTGTTATACAACATGTAAGACGTGCCTATGAACTGTAATTTGTGTTTTATTTTTAACTGTGTCATTAGTACCATTCATCTTTTTGTCGTAATGTAGTTCACATACTTTCAATCCTCTAAATGATGGAAGATTTGCAAGAAGCGGACATTTTCCGGCTGTGCCACAACGGAGACCCGCCTCTGTCTACCATCTAATCTCTCAAGTCTTGTAAATAAAAAGGCACAATTTAAAACAGAATTGAAAAGATACTTAATTACACACTCCTTTTACTCTGTCGATGAATTCCTAATGTCTACAAGTAAGTCGTAATTTATCCTTTGTTTGTATTTTTGTGACATTTATATGACTTGTATTTGTATAACATGTATTGTATTATTATGATTTATTCTACATCCTATTGTCATCTGACTAACTTATGGATCCATGGAATGTAATAAAGATGTATGTATGTATGTATTTCATCCTTGCTTATGCACTGGGAGAATTAGATGGATCCATCAAGATAGAGTTTTGATAACGGTAGGGAAATAACGCTGTGAGATATGTCGGCAACCCTTCTACTTTACACCAATTTATTCTCCATACATGCCAAGGCTATTACCTTTTCGAGTTTTATTATCATGTGTTGGCACTGCTGTGAATTATTTGTTGCACTACACACTAGTGGCCCTAGTATGGCCTGGAGCTTTGCCGCTTAAAACATTCCGAATTTACAGGTGTCTTTTCACAGGCTCTGTTGCTCGGTGTGTACCATATTTCAAGATTCATAATGTGCAGTAACTTGGAACACACACATTTGAAAAGAATCAAGCATTATTTTCTGTCTTATTTTTAACAATGTGAAAGCCTCATTTTGTCTGGAAAGAACTTCCTAGTGTGGTGACCACACATTTTAGCCACTGTAACTCATAACTGCATGATGTAGGATTTGAGGTTTTGACGGCTGCGAGTCAAGATATTTGCCTTCAACTGCATGTTTTACAATGTCAAGTGTGTTGCAGACCTAACATAACTAACATTGAGCCACTTAGTACTTTCCTGCATGTTGTCTTCTAATGCCAAATATAAAATTCATGATTACAGAGGAAGTACAAACACATCATCTTGTAAATTAAATTAAAATAACTAACCTTACACAACTTTAACTGTCAATAAATTTTTATTTGTCATAGAACTATAAAAATATATCCATTTATGACAACTTTAAATGGAGACCTGTTTTTTCTTTTCGTTTTATTTACAAATCTTTGTGGACCATTATGGTATCTGACACAAATATTAAGTTGGTTATAAATGGCAGATTCAGAATAATGGCTTATTTTAAGATAGTGTCCCACATTTCTCCCACAGAAAATAAGAGAAACCATCAGATTAGTTCAGCATAAAGACATGTTGCAGATTCTAACCCTGTGAACGCTGCTTCAGATGCGTTGCATGGATCGTTTTTAATGCTTTGCATATGGTGTGCATACGGTGGTCTGGTGAGGTTAGAGGAACAGATCTTGCATGGTGGTGGTCCTCATTGGCTTGAAGGAGATAATAACAATGTTCCTCTACCAGCTGGAAACATCCTTCGACCACATCCACTCCTACCACTTTATAATAATGTTTCGGAACCTGACTGGCAGGAAGGTGTAAATCAAGTAAGTAGATCCACATCATCTAGTTCTCATGCATATAGTGCATGTCACATTTGCTTTATATAATATCTTGAAAGCAGTAAGTCATGGAAAGTATATTAGTAGGCCTCCTAAGTTTTAAACTTCTGATCCAAATTGTATGCCAGCATTTTCAGTAGTGCTAATGTAACTGCTATTCACTGTGACTCAGCTACAACCTTGTCAATTAGAGTTAGACCATGAGAATATTGAGGATGACATGTAGGCTATGTCATTAGACATACTTCATGACACTTACATAGGGCATCTAGACATAATACTAGAAAGGATAAAGATGTTAATGACAAATGTATTTTATAATGATATATAGTAGCCATTATTAAAAAAATTGTATGGTTTTTCAAGCTGAAACCTCTCTGTAATCTAGTTCAGTGGTATTGAACCTTTTTTGTTCGTGTACCCCCAGATATAATTTCTCTTCATTAATGCAATCATAATGAAAATAATGTGTACATATACGTTACGAAATAGGATTTCATAATTCGCGCGTCAGTGGTGTGGGCAGTGGCCGAGAGAGGCAGCACGCACAATATAGAGGTTATAACCATTTCTCAATGCCTACTTACTTCCCACTCATCCTGTGTAGTGAAGAACAGTGTAACAGCTCTGTTACATAACATCCAGATCAGGATACCTAGAGGTCTATGGATATGCTCAGGTCTGCCTTAATTTTGAAGCCTGGCACATTATAATGCATTTCCACTCCACTTGCCAACTTCTGCTCTGATATAAGTATAAACTCACAACTTTGTAAATGAGGAGAATAACTGTCATAACTGTGTAACCAACTCCATGAAGCAAAATTCTTTTAGAGTGTGTTAGTTACTCTCTGTCTTCTATGTAAACAAAAGTTTTGTGTTCACAAGAGCCTGCTGTGGACCCTCTTCTAAGTCAGATGAATTCCACGACCTCTCACCATGTTTCCTTTGAATCCATATTATTATTATCCTCCTGTCTGTGTCTGTATGTCTCAAGTGGTCTATTTCATTTAGGTTTTCCTATCAAAAGTTTGTGGATACTTGTATGCTACAGGAACAACATCCAGTTGCAGCTGCTTTAGCAGGAGGTGTTCTGCCATGCCCTGTTGTTGGTCCAGACTTGGTTGGAGTGGATCCCCTTGAAAATGCTGCTGTAGGAGATGCTGAGGAACTTGAGCTTGGTGCTGTAGACAATGGCGCAGCAGCCGATGAAGGAAATTGGAATCCAATAGAGCAGGATCAAGCTGCAGAAGAAATGAACTTGGAAAGATTTTTTGGATTGGGTGTTTTACTTATGACTTTGTTCAGGGCCTTCTCAATACAACATTGGACATTTTGCTGTGGTGAGGTTCAATTTGAGAGAGCATGCTGCTGCATCTCACTTTGAAGGCCTTGTCACCACTTTATGCGGATATTGTGTCATTGGCCTCTGTCTTGTCCTGCTACATGGATTGGCTTCACTCCTTGGCTTAAGAAGATCCAGAAGAATTTTTTGACTCTGTTACTTGATGGTGAAGGTAAAGTAATATAACATAAATTGCATCAGCACAATCATCGCACAATACGGTTACTGCACAGTAACATTGAATGTTAATAAAATGATATTGAAAGATTAGTTACTTTAATTAAGTGGGCCAGGAGCATGAGACTCCTTAAGGTGTTTGAAGAATCCACATTCATTTTTGTAGTAGTAAATTTCATTATGGTCATGAACCTAGAAAGTAATTTTCTATCTCCATGGAGCCAGAACAAATGATTTTTCTTCTAGCCTCTGTGTCATAATCTGCTCAGCTGTATTTATTTCAATCTGCCTAACCTAACCTAACCTAACCTAACCCAACCCAGAGGCCTGGCATGTACATTCAGCTGGCAAAAGTAATATTTCAATATATTCTATAATACTATGGGAGAGATATGCCTGCCATATTACCTGTGAATATTTGAGAATACTGAAGTAATGTTATTTCTTCTTTCCAGGTGTTCTTGTTGTGTGTTGTGGAAATAGGTGTCCTCCCACTAATATGTGGTTGGTGGTTAGATTTCTGCTCCTTGTCAATGTTTGATGCAACCCTACAAGACCGAGTGTCGAGTTTCCACCTGGCACCGCCATGCTCATACATTGGCTTGTTGGGATGGCGTATGTGTACTGTTTTGCACAATTCATCTTGCTTCTTAGAGAAGTATTGAGGCCTGGTGTACTTTGGTTCCTGAGAAACTTAAATTATCTACACTTCAGCCCAATTCAGGTTTGTAGTTCAAATCAAAATATTATAGCAGAACACTCCCCTCTTGTGAACCTGGAATGAGGTTCTGCATGACCTTGGCTACCAATATCAGCTATAAGAAGAAAAGTCTTAATCGTAGACAAGGTGTCTTTAGGAAGTAGTACTATCACAGTGAGAAATGTGATGAATATTCTCCTAAAGGGAAAACATTAAGCCCTACTTGTTTGTTTCTTTGGTTACTTGTGTGTATATGTAAGCGTTTTGTCAGCCTGTTGTTTTGTTATGTCTTTCACTTCAATGCTGGATGTTGGACTAACTGCCACTTGGCGACTAGTGATGCTCATGGTCATTATTAACTAGCCTGTATTCCACCAGATACTTGTCATCCTTGATGTGTTCATATTGCTTGCGGAACTCACGGATCAGAAACACGATGACACCACCCACCAGCATGATGAGAAGCAGGAATAGATACTGCCATCGTGCTGTGAGATTACGCAGATGCAGACTAGTGACTACGAGGGGTACGATGCCATATGCTATGGCATATGGAACAGCTAGAGCCAGAATGAAACAGGCCACCACTGGTGCAGCTAACTCACGAAGCACAAATCCCAGATCCATGCCATGAATTCCATCACGATAAGCTCTTTCAATAGCATGTTTGAGTGCCCACTCAGGACCCATCATGGTTCCTGCACAGGCTATTATGGTGAATAGAACACCCAAGGACCAGACCTGCCACACAAAGAGCTCTGGAGTCTGGTCAAGAGGCACAAGAAGTGGGATCAGAACTGTCAATTCCATGAGATGTCCAAAGAGGAGAGGGATCACTCCAAGAAGCAGTGAGAAGGCAACAGCACATTTGGGGGTACAAAGCTGAAGAGAAATTATATCTGGGGGTACACGAACAAAAAAGGTTCAATACCACTGAACTAGATTACAGAGAGGTTTCAGCTTGAAAAACCATACAATCTTTTTAATAATGGCTACTATATATCATTATAAAATACATTTGTCATTAACATCTTTATCCTTTCTAGTATTATGTCTAGTTGGCCTATGTAAGTGTCATGAAGTATGTGTAATGACCTAGCCTACATGTCATCCTCAATCTTCTCATGGTCTAACTCTAATTGACAAGGTTGTAGCTGAGTCGCAGTGAATAGCAGTTACATTAGCAGTACTGGAAATGCTGGCATGCAATTCAGACCAGAAGTTTAAAACTTAGGAGGCCTACTAATATACTTTCCATGACTTACTGCTTTCAAGATATTATATAAAGCAAATGTGACATGCACCATATGCATGAGAACTAGATGATGTGGATCTACTTACTTGATTTACATCTTCCTGCCAGTCAGGTTCCGAAACGTTATTATAAAGTGGTAGGAGTGGATGTGGTCGAAGGATGTTTCCAGCTGGTAGAGGAACATTGTTATTATCTCCTTCAAGCGAATGAGGACCACCACCATGCAAGATCTGTTCCTCTAACCTCACCAGAATACCGTATGCACACCATATGCAAAGCATTAAAAGATCCATGCAACGCATCTGAAGCAGCGTTCACAGGGTCAGAATCTGCAACATGTCATTATGCTAAACTAATCTGATGGTTTCTTCAAAAGTCGCGCAACCCGATCCAAAATTCGCGCAGAAGAGCATGGAAAAGTAAGTATTGGCAACACTGTACTGTCGGCCAGGTGTTGTGCAGGCAGTATGACCTTCAGACACTGCTAGGTCTCACCACTTGAGTAATGGCATTCGAAACTGTAAGATGAGTTTTTCATAGAGCGAGTATTCATTGTGGAACATTATTTTAAGACGAATTCATACACGGAATGCCAACAATCGTTTGTGCGTAGTTTTCCAGAATCGCTCGTGCCGAATTGTTCACCGTTCTCGTGAAACAGGCAGCGTAAGTGACAAAAAGCGATCTGGACTGCCATCAAATCTGAATGATGAAAATTTGAATGAGGTTAGGTAGTGCTTAGAACGGTCACCCAAGAAGTCCTTAAGAATATTAGTGCAGAAGACTGGATTGAGTTATGGAACAACGCAGAGGTGTACGAGGCTGCTGAAACTTGTGCCTTACAGAATTCACACAATGCACGAACTCAAGGAACCGGACAAAGGGAAAAGATTACGATACTGTGAATGGTTCCGAGAACTTGTGAGGGACGTTGTCGGTACCTTGGACAACATTTTCTTCACACATGAGGCTTGGTTTCATTTAAGTGGTTATGTAAACAGTCAGAACGGTAAGTTTTGGAGCTATGAAAATCCACACGTTTTCCTTGAGGTGCCCTTACACAGTCAGAAGATTGGAGTGTGGTGTGCAGTTTCACGTCACAGGGTGGTGGGTCCTCTCTTCTTTAGAGAAACTGTTATTGCTGAACGTTACCAGGAATTCGTTATGCAGTTTATTGCATTACTGGAGGAAACAGAACGAGATTGCTGGTTTCAGAAAGATGGGGCCACTGCACACACAGCTAATTCCACTCTGGCAATTTGGCTGAGTTTCTTGGTGATCGTGTGATTTCTAAGGGTTTGTGGCCACCTCGTTCCCCAGACCTAACGCCACCTGATTTTTTTGTGTGGGGACAGTGGAACCACGGTTCCGGAGAATCCTTCAGAGCTCGCGCCCATCGCTGGAACGTCCCGACTCGCGTGTGAGCATCAATTGAGCAAATACTTAATCAGACTATTACTAACTTTTAATTTATTTATGGAGTTACAATTAAGAGACTAATAAAATGTTAAATCTATGTATATTTTTCATTAAAAAAACTGAGATACAATTTAAAATTTATGTAATACGTAAACGTTCAGTGAAAAATATCTTAGTGTGCCATGGATAGCCGTAACCAAATTTCGTTTGTAATTCTTTGTATTATGTTTATAAATGATAATATATATATATATACTCTTTTAGAGTTTGTGTTCTATGTGGCTATTTTTCATTAAACTGATACACGCCAATCATATTTAAAGATCTGATTACTGGCCCATTAGTTTCATTTTGTATTAATGAATGATAAAAAACATCTAAAACTAATCAGTGTTTCCAAATTTAATTTATGAATGGTAATAATAATAGCAACAACAATAGGATATATACAAAATCAATTTTTTTAAATTTCAATCGCTATCTGATTCCTTTGCTGATTTTCAGTCTCTATAACAATTCAAACAAATGGAAATGCTCACCACAAAGGAATTTGTTATATGAGGTGCATGTTATTGTTGTTTTCCTATTTATCTCCGAAGACAATCGGCACAAAGCTGTCTGCTGCTTTTAGTTGCTCTACGAGTTTGTTGATTATCCGGGTTGGTTTCAGAAATCATGTGAATCTTTCTTTTGATTGAAGAAGATCTTACAGGAATAGTCCCTCTCATATAAACGAAGCGTTGAGTAAGGCTCGATGCACACGAGCGAGTTATTTTCGCGAGCTCGCCGCGTCATTTTCTCGCGCGTTTTAGCAGTATATGTGAAGCAATGGAGCAATGCACACTATGGCGGTGACGCCGCGAGCAATTTGCGCTCGCCAACCACTGCTGCTTCGCAGCGAGTTCGCCGATCGCCGCGAAGCAGCAGACTGTGTGAAAGCATTGGGCAGTGCACACGTGCTTCGCAACCCTCGCAACTGCTCAGAGTCACAACCAGCATTTCTAGAGGTATTGCAAGCCTCATCGCAGAATCTTTACTTTTGTTGGATGCATCCAGTTTTGCTGCTAGCTCATCAAACGACTTTATACTCATACGACAATAATTATGAAATTTACTTTCATCTTCTCTTAAATCTATAAACATTGTCACGAACGCCCCTTTTAACAGCCGTGAACTAACCAACGGGTGTGTCCAATACTTCCTATTCCTTAAAATATATAATAAAATTCAGGTCAATACACAAAACTTTATTTGGATGTTAAAATTTAAAATTTAAATGTTAAAATTTAAAATTTTAAATTTGCGCCATTCATCACTATAAGGATGTTACATTAGAGCACTTTCATTCATTTCACAACATGTTTCGATGTAATACATCATCTTCAGGTGTTGTTTTTTAAAACTATTTTATATTATAATGCATGCCTTTCAATATAT